ACTAGAACTAACGCTATACCTAGAATCTGAAGATGGACGGCTTAACTCGAAACTTTCTAGTTCTTCTTGTAGTGATTATTCCAAAAATTAAATAAAAATGATTTAATTCTTTCAATTAATTGAAATAATTTAGTTTTAATTTTAAACATTACCACAAACGTTCTCATAAAATGCGAAACCATTTAATGCGGATTAAATTACATCGAAATTCCTGACGTAAATACATTGTAATAAAACACGTGATCACGACGGTATTATTGACGCGGTCACGTTTAAAGTGAAAATTACCAAACAGCTTCTCGCACCATAAGCTGGTATCGAATTTTAACACACAATGTGGTACAAATCGAAACATGGCGAGATCACATTTTTATGAAATTTAAGTGCATTCTTGTCTCGTTACGGTTTATTATTCTTACTGGACATATTTCTGATAATCTAATCAGATGTTCTCCTTCGAGTGACTGCTACGGTTATCTGAGTGTTTATAACGCATGTAAAATCAAAAAAACCGCACGGTGTATCTATCATAATGAGTACGTTTTATAATTACTGCCAAAAAGGAAACTATTTCTTTATTTTAAATTACATCACAGTTTAAATCTCTAAATCTGATTATCTCTGAGCAAACAACAGTAGCAGTAGTTATAAAATTTTATGTAGGTATCCGCGTTTAGATAAAATTGTGCAAACGTCTAAACAGTTGTTCGTTTTTCTCTACTTGTCGAAAAGGCAGGCGTCGTCTTTGTAAGGATAAGATCGTTATCTAGAGAATTATCGCTCTAATATTGACAGGGTTCGTAGTGTAGTACGGTGAAATGTTCGTTGATGATAAGGTGTCGAGCAGGTATTTTTCGGTTTAATATGCTCAATACATTTTATTATGAAACGTATTGCGGTGTTGATAATGTTGTATGTTTGTTTCTTTATAGCCTCGGTCCTTGTGAACTGCAGGACCCTGTGTGGGCCAAGATGAGCGCATTGGCCAGCGGCGCTAAGAAAAGGAAAAAATCCGAAACTAAGCCTCAAGCACAGATGTAAGTAAAATATGATTATAATTCTAACACGAATCTCAAAATTAAGATAAAACAAAGATGATTTCCTACATTTAAGTAATACATAACACAATTTAATATGATTTTAACCGGATTTATGCATTTTATGATTTAGAATTACAATATCTAACTTAAAAATTTAATTAATTTCTTAATAAAAAAGTTATTAAAGAAGTAATTTAACGGGAACAATTAAAAATAAACAATAAATAAAAAAAAATAATTAGAAAAAGCTGTGGTGATTGTTATTTATTGACAAAATGGTTTGTCATTCCTTTCATCACCATTCATCATCCGGACAGTTAACGTAATTGTTATGAAGCACATTGATCATTAACAATCTCGGAAATTTAAATTCCGTTATGAAACTACTGTTTCGACACTCCAAATCACCGTTTAAATACGTTCTAAGATTCTTAGAGCATTATTGTATTGTCTTCGCGCTTTGTTTTTGCCCCAAACAAAGACGTTGTCTTACAAGAAACAGCTATTTTTTCGGTAAAAATAATTCATAAAATAAACGGGAATTTTTGAAGAACTACGTTTATGTAATTGGGTGAAGAGCAACAAATTTTTGTCGAAAATGATTTTATTTAGATATAAGAATTAAGATATCAGTAGATTAGATTTCGTTAATTTCCTTGAATTTTTTTGTTAAACTTATAAAAGTTACTACTTATTAACTTTCAAGTCATAATTCAAATCATTTTATTTAATTTTGTAAAAAGACTAATCTGATTTTATTTTTATTAACCATTATAGCAGTTTTGCATATTTATTATTAATGTTATTTCTGCCAATTTGAATGATTTGAAATGGGTAATGCTTTGATTACTGATAATGAATAATTTCATACAAAGCCAACGGATAATTATGAAGTAATGGTAATTCATTGATTTTGTAAATTTCTCCAAGAGATTGATTCGAGAATTTGTGGAAAATTGAGATTTTTCACTTTTTGTAGCTTTTTCATGGAATTTTTGACAGTCTAAAAGAAATATGAACATGAAATGGATGAAAACCCTTTAGAAATTTAGAACTTGAAGAATACTACTGGTTTTCGAAAAAATATTTAAACTGACAAAAATTTTTTTTTTGTATTTGCTACTATGGATAATGAAGAATACGATGAGGTTTAAATTAATTTGATCAAAGATTGTATCCAGCTGAAAATTTGCAAAGATTTTAAAAGAGGAAATGGCAAAAGTATATTTTTTCCAAGGTAGCTATTTTAGAGGCGATAAGGAATTGAAAAATTCTGCTCAACCCAAAATTTGCAAAAATTCCAGAATTAGTTGTTTTCCAGAGAAATAAACTATGACAAAAATAATTTTTTTTCCTTATTTGCAGCTATGATGATGATGGATAAATTGATCAAAAATTCTCCCCAAATCCTAATTATAAAAATTTAAGAAAATCATGTTCATGAAATTGTCAAAAATACTTTTCTTGCAGTGTTTTCTTCTTTAAATGATGAAGAATAAAATATTTAAAAATTTAAATGAATTAAAATAAAATTTAGTAAGATTACTTAAAAACCTTTTCACAGAAACATAAAATCAATTTTTCATTTTTTATTAGCATAGATGATGAAGAATATAATGCGGTTTAAATTAAATTGATCAAAAATTCTCTTCAATTTGAAATTTACAAAAATCCATAAACATGTTTGCTGCTTTTTATTATGAAAAATAACAATTCCAGAAATCCCAATTTTCCAGAAAATAACAAAAACATTTCTGATTTTATTGATGTTATCATATTTGAAATCTCCTTATTGTAGTACATGTTTTTAATTTTATAAGCAATTCTTAAATTTGAGTCTAAGATTTAAATTTCTTGCTTTTATGTAATGTTTTACTATCCATATTGTTATTATTTTACTCGTGCTTGATGAAGGTTACCTAAGCAAAACAGTGTGTAGTTATTAAGAAAAAAAAAACAAAAACAATTGTAATAACAACGCAAAAGAACTAATAAATAATTCATGAGATTCGCACTTATATACATATATTCTCCAACTAACAGTCCAGAAACTCTTGCACTGAATAGAAAGCACGATTTAGGAGCAGACTCGTCTTCTAAGTAAGGTTCTTTCCGCGACACGAAGCCAATATATTTGTGTAGAAGGTTATTCAAAAGAAGAAATCTTATGTGACTACATATATAAAATATAAATTATATTAAACTTTTTTCGATTCTGTTCCGACTTTCCCTCAATTTTCAATTCTGATTTGAAGTCCCATCTTTTTGCCTACTTTGGTTTTCGCACTAATAACTTGTGATTTGAATATCTTGAGATAATAGACTACACCAGAGGTTTGCAAAGAGTTCGTCGATATGCCTCAGGTACTGTAAAAAATAAACACGAAACACTGGAATGCACGTCTGGAGTGTTCTAGAATAATAATCCCTAAATTTGTGTATCCGGTGCTTTAGGGTCGATTTAAAATATTAATGTTTCTATCTCGGAAAGAAGCAAATTGAGGGTGAATAACATATATAGTTCATAAATAATAATAAATATTTAGGTGGCCTTAATTTTATAATATTTTATAATATTAGGCGAATGCGATATTAAAAAGTGCCCATATTCTTTCAGTGTGTCACTTTATGTAGAAGAACTTTGAAAAACCATGTGCTAACAGTGTATACTCTATTCATCAATTTAATTTGCGCATATCGAATAGTACATGCAAATTTCCTGAATTGCGATAACATTACTTAACATAAGTGACACTAACGACGAATTCTCAACCAATGCTAATTAATAATGTTTACCATGTTTAATGAAATTTAAGTATAATATTGTAAACTAATTAGAATCGATGTTTTTCTTATTAATAACTTATTTCACGTATTCACAACTATATCGCCTGCAAATTATAGGTTACTTAATTAAGCATTATTTTCATCTTTACAATGGCGTTTTTCATTTCTACCATTCTATCCTCATCTCTTAATAGTCGTGTATTGAACGTACCGGTATATAATTTATCTTAGGGATGTGTGGGCGAGCTACCCCGCAGCGGCCAATTGTAGTCGGATAGTTTTCCTCTTCTTCTCTTACACTTTGCATTCTTTTGATCGTTTATCCTTTTCTGCACGTCAGTCGTCACCAGTTTATCTTGATATATTCTTCGTAATTGCTACTTATTTCTATCTTTCTTGTTCCATTTTGCTTGGATAAATCATGTAGGTACGTGAGTGTTTTCAGGTTGTCGAATCCTACTTGGTAAAGAATTTGTTCATATTCTCTGAAAGAAATTTATAAACAACATTTTTTTTAGATATATTTCGTTTTCTTGACCATTCTTCTTGTTTATCATTTTTTTATGCATAAACATTTTTCATTTGATTTTTTAACGAAATCGCTGCCAATTTTCCGTAATTTTCGTCTTCTAACTCTTCTGTCAGCTGTTCTTAACTATTGCCGTGTTTATAACTGTATCTATCATTTAATCATCAACCTTCTATATAATTTGGATATCATTGGAATTTTGCTAATTTTAATATATCATTCAATAGTACCATATTATCATTTGATTTAGTTACTAATATAGATGGGAATGAGGTAATTTGTTACTTCTTTCTCAGTGTCTGGTCAAACATTTTGCCAAGATTTCATGAATTAGGATTTTCGTGATATGCATTTGAAGTCACATAAATTACATCTCTGAGAGCAGTTTACATTGATATCACCTCTTTAATCTCTCCATTACTCCTTGCATCATCAGTCCGTGTCATAAACATGTTACGTTACCTGGAAGGAGATCAACATTGTCTAATGTAAGACCAAAATTGGACATTCTGCCAATTTATGGTTCTTTAACTTTTTGAGATAAATGCGTTTATGAACCACTCTTTGAAGATGTAAGTATTCGTCCAAGCACTTCAACATAGTCAATTCCTTCTTTATCGACTTTACATGCTAGAGTTGCCCACCTAATAGAGAATAATTAGAGAACTACAAAGTTTCATACTTCATACATAGCTTGTCACTACTAAGTGTTTGGAATTTTGTCTACCTTGTATATTCGTTGAAGGAAGTGCTACGTATCTTTTCATTTTTCTGTGCTTACAAAGCTCTTTATGGCAGCAACTTACGCTGATAATTTTTCACCACAAATGTTTGCAAAATTAACTCAATGTCTCTGCTTCCATCTTAATAAGCAGCTATCAGCGGCTGCACACTCAATCATTTTAAAACTTTGCGTACACAACAAATTAACTTTTTTTTACTAATTTAGTTCTTTAATGTGAGAAAGTTGAATACTCCAGTTAATTCCTATTGAAGACAATTTTTCTGGTTACTGTTCTTTGATAGCATGGGGTTGCAAAAATGTACGGCATCACCAATTCTTCGCAGATAATTGTTCCTAAATATCATGGAAACGTTTGAAGAGAACATCCTCATTACATTAAGCAGTTTTGATAATAATCGCACCCTTTCTAGTACCATAAATGACATTCTTCTTATGATTTTAATATCACTTAAATAAATTTTATAGTTGTTTATGTATCGAAGTATTAAAGTCATTCGTTTCTTTTAACGCGATCATAATAATTTAGTTGCGCTATTGAGCGAAATAAGGACACGAAAGTATTAAAAATGGTTTTAATGCCACAGTGTATATTTCGTTTTCATTTACTATTTTAGACTATACTATTAAATTTTAGTATAATTTACTATACTTTTGTATTGAACAATGACTTTTTTTCTGAATGAACTTTATTTCCGCATCAATCAACCTACCTACCCAAATACAATTATAGAGTACTTACATAAAACCCAAAAACCCTATCCCATTTAAATGTAATAGTAGTGCGTTCCTGTGTATGTATAGTTACCGGTCATACAAAACACCGTTAGTTTGTCGGTAACTACATACGTCACGCTTTATCTACCAACCTATCGTTTAGTTTAAAAGGCAGAGTCGATTTCCACACATTCACTCACACATACTTTAAAAAAAAATCTCACCATACACACACACACAATCACACAGAGACACCTTTAGCGAGGCATTTTATTATCGTCAGGTTTTATCGCTACCGTTTTAAAACCTATAGTTTCGGTATTTTCAACGACCACCTGCCGAACGTTTTTTTTTTTCATTAATCCACCTGTCAAATTCCATTTTAGTTTTTGCTGTTATTCAGTATCGGTTCAATCGGTGATGAAGAAGAAGTGGTGTGAAGTTTTAAAATGAGAAATTCATGTTTACATAAATTTAGATGGAAAATTTGAAATAAGAACGGGATAACAACGAGGTAATTAAGGTATTAGTACCTTTGAGAGTTAATTAATTATAGCGGACGAGGCCAATAAATGCGGCGTCAACTATCGTTTCTCTCATCGATAAACGAGGTTTGCGAGGAGGATTTAATTGCGATCGTAATCTGTGTGGACGTAGAAAACGACACCGCCATCTTATGCAAATTGTTTTGGAAGATAACAAGCGATTATCTGCTAAGTGAATTATCGGGTTTTATATAAAAAAAATTTACTTTATTATTTTTTTTTCCAATAGAAATATGAAACTCAATTTATAATCCGCTAATTTAAGAAGTCGGAGATAAAAAAATTCTCAACAAGTATTTTTTTTTCTTTGTTCTTCTAGGTAAGAAACGAATTATTCAGTTTGCAACGTTTCTATCTAAACGCGTGACGTAATCTTTTTCCTAGTTGTTGCCGTCGAGTATTTTTATCTTTCTTCTTCTTCTCACGAGAGATAAAAGTCTCCACAGCACGAGGATACACTGACGAATGCGATCTTCTCTTTGCTTCTTCTTTGTCGAGAAGACTTACGAATGTTCCAACGACGTATGTAGGCCGTTAACGTGACTTCAGGGTTACCGTAGTTTTCCCGGAAGAAACAACACACGACATTTTTAACTTTAACACTTTTATCGCCATAACAAAACGTAAAACAATTTTTTATTAATAAGTTTTGCTTTTATTTGTTTTATAAAAAAGTAAAATCAGCAAAAAGATTTATCTGGCTTAAATTATTCTTCTTTAAAATGTTTTATGGCTTCTTGAAAACTTTCAATAAATCTTAGATTAAGAGATAAATTATTTTTTCTTGGAAGTAAATTATTTTTGCGTTATGCAGAAATGAGTACAATAAAACCTCAATATAACGGAGAAACATTCTTATTTAGCCGTACGTCTATAAAGAAGGCTAAATCAGAATGTTTCTAGTATGTTAGTTGTTATTCAGTGCTAGATTGTTCTATATTTTTATTGAACTAAAACTAGAAGTACCACTAGACTTAGAACTAGAAACTTTCTGGTTTAGCCGTACGTCTCTAAAGACGGCTAAATCAGAATGTTTCTAGTTCTAGGTCTAGTGTTAGCTCTAGTTTTACACTAAAACGGTCACTAGAACAAACATTAGACCTAGAACTACAACCATTCGTATTTAGCCGTCTTGAGAGACGTGCGGCTAAATCCGAATGTTTCTAGTTCTAGATCTAGTGTTAGTTCTAGTTTTACACTAACACTGCTACTAGAACTAACACTATACCTTGAACTAGAATCATTCGGGTTGGGTTGGGTTGTTTCTAGTTTTAGTGTTCTAGTTCTAATGCTAGTGTTAGTTCTAGTTTTAGTTGTTATTCTCTCCCTTTTTTTACCACTAGACTTAGAACTAGAAACTTTCTGGTTTAGCCGTACGTCTCTAAAGACGGCTAAATCAGAATGTTTCTAGTTCTAGGTCTAGTGTTAGTTCTAATGATAGTGTTAGTTCCAGGTTTAGTTGTTATTCAACTAAAACTAGAACTACCACTAGACCTAGAACTAGAAACATTGTCACTAGAACAAACATTAGACCTAGAGCTAGAATCATTCCGATTTAACCGTCTTGAGAGACGTGCGGCTAAACCCGAATGTTTCTAGTTCTAGATCTAGTGTTAGTTCTAGTTTTACACTAGCACTGTTGCTAAAACTAACACTATACCTTGAACTAGAATCATTCGGGTTTAGCCGTACGTCTCTAAAGACGGCTAAACCCGAATGTTTCTAGTTCTAGGTCTAGTGTTAGCTCTAGTTTTACACTAAAACGGTCACTAGAACAAACATTAGACCTAGAACTAGAACCATTCGTATTTAGCCGTCTTGAGAGACGTGCGGCTAAATCCGAATGTTTCTAGTTCTAGATCTAGTGTTAGTTCTAGTTTTACACTAACACTGCTACTAGAACTAACACTATACCTTGAACTAGAATCATTCGGGTTGGGTTGGGTTGTTTCTAGTTTTACTGTTCTAGTTCTAATGCTAGTGTTAGTTCTAGTTTTAGTTGTTATTCTCTCCCTTTTCCATATTAATCCGTTATATCGATATTTTACTGTACTAAGAAATCCTTAACATGTTAAATTTTGAGTTTAAATACTGTATGGCATTCATGTATGTAGTAGTATCGATTACCATTTAAGGTGGTGTTACACGGCTGACTGAACGATTAATGACCGTAACACCGGTAGTGACAATACTGGATGTGTAATACGTGTACCCTTTTAATGTTAAAGATAAAAAAAAAGAAAACGCAACATTGTTTCAAAGTTTTTTAGTTTACGTAAATTTACAACTAGGTTACCGTAACAAAAATTATTACGTAACGAATACGTGACTAATAATAAACTTACTATTCGTTGTAAAATATTGTCTATCTAACGTTTTTTTGTTTTATTTTGTGTGGAAGTGTTCCCAATATAATATGTTTCTAGGTCACCACGGAATCACTTTTCCTCGTGTTGTATTATTACGTAATCGTTTTGATAGATTAAAATCTGAAATCGTTTAATTTGTTATTACGTTTCTTTTTTTTTGTTTATTGGTAATAAATTATTAAACTAATGAAAATATTTTTATTTCCTTTGTTAAAGCAGTTTTTTTTATATCAAGCAATTTTTCTTCTTGATTAAATTCACGTGACAGATGGATGGTTTACAACTAAAGTCCTTCAAAAAATGCTGACCGCAGCGATTTCGTCGTCTTTGTCGCGACGCGTTTTCTAAAAGTCGCCTTTCGATGACGATTCGTTTGATGGCCAGTCGGTTGTAACACGCCAACTCCTCCGGCTGCTCTTCCTGCAAGCCGTCTTTCTTCCACTCGCATTTTTTGATACGCGTTAAAAATGACTGTCTGCGATTTTTGTTTCAACGTAACGCGTTTTTTCTGTTATAGCAACAAGTGCAACAATGAGAAGAGGCGGCGCGAGCAAGAGAACATCTACATAGAGGAGCTCGCTGAGCTGATATCCGCTAACTTCGCGGACATGAGCTCTTTGTCCGTGAAACCCGATAAATGCGCCATCCTCCAAGAGACCGTCAATCAGATCAGGAGTATTAAACAACGAGAATCTGCCTCCAGGTTAGTTAATTAACATTTTTTCATTTTATTTTGATTTAATTTTTGTATTTTTTGATTTAGATCGACTGATCCTGTACAACAAGGTGAAGTTTCATCCTCGCGACCAAATATTTTATCAACAGACGTGTATGGTCATCTTCTTCTGGAAGCTTTAGACGGTTTTCTCTTTGTGGTAAACGGTGAAGGAAAGGTGGAACACGTAACGAAAAACGTGCAAAAATTCATTAAATTCACGGACAAAGAGATTCTCGGGGAGACCATTTACAATTTCATCCACCCCGGTGACCACACGAGTTTCGTTTCAAGTTTGCCGATGTCCATCGGATGGAGTTCTGAAACGTCGACGAAATCGCGTTCGTTCAGCTGTCGCTTGCTGATTAAAGCCGACGATCAAGACGACGTCTTATCGAAGGATAAATCATCTCAACAATCGCAACAGCAACAACAACGCGACCGTTACGAGGTGATGTCCATTTCGAGTACCCAATTGACGCAAGATTCAACGGGTTCCGAGGACGATCCAAGCGACGGAGGTCCTTGCTTACTTTGCGTCGCCAGCAGAATAACGCACAGGGATCGCGCAGCCATTTTCACCATCGAACAGTTTACCACGAAATTAGATACAAGCGGGAAGATTATCGGCATCGATACTTCTGGTGTTAACGCGTACACGCAGTTCCTTAACAAAGACCTGATGGGCCGTATCCTGCAGGATCTGTGCGCGCAACAGGACCTCAGGAAATTAACGCAACACCTTAGGGACACGCTCAGTGCCGGGCAAGGGACTAGTGTTACGTACCGGCTCAAATTATCTCAGGACAATTACGTTAACGTGCAGACTAAATCGAAATTATTTAAAGCCGGTCCACATTCTTCTGAAGCTGATTTTATTATGGCCACACATGCTATTATAGGGTAAGTTAAATTTCACTTCATTTAATTACAAAATTATTACTACCTTGATGATCCTCTTCTAAGATGATTGATTCTGCAATGTTTCATTTATATGTAAATTTATCACTTTTAATACCACAGTGCAAAACATGTGGAATTTAATCTAGCAAAATAAACTCTATGGTTTTGTATTCTTCTCCACCACGGAAATAATACATTAATCAAAAATATATGAGATCATAAACAACAAATTATTAATTTATCTTTTTCTTAGCCCATAACCATATGTGGCACAACATTTGCAAAACACTTTGCCACATGTTGGTGTGCAGTAATGAACATTAGTCAAGGCTAAATTTGTCATAAATTAAAATGTTTCAGTTGGTGGTTTTTCGGAATTGCTAAATACATCACAAACGCATTTGCAAGAGAAATATTTAATATGGCGTACAATTCACTTCTAGGTTTTGGGACATTCTTGATACAACAAACCCGAAAAAAAGATGAAATAGCTTTCCTTGTTTTGCAACTTCCAACATATCTTTCTTATTTCTCTAATAAGTTCAATAGAAAAGGAACCAGTTGGTAACGGTCATTTGAAGATCTTTTGATAACATGTTCCTGCCGCATCATTTTTTTTAGTATAATGATTTTCTTGATTTATTTCATATATACAATTTATTCTGTAAAAATATTTTGGCATGTTCCATCAATTACAAAAATTAAATGACTTCGTATTGTGCAAGATAAAGCGTATAATTTCAAACAGCTAGATTTTTTGTAATTCAATTTCATCTTAATTAAGGTTATTTCGTTTAGTACAGTTCAATTATTTTCCTAGACGAATCTATGCATCTTCTTTTTTCTTCTTCTTTCTCAGTATTTAGTCATCCTGGACTCTTGGGCATATACCTCATTTTTATCTTCCACTCGTTTTGGTCTTATACTGGTTGTAGCAAATCTTCTCAACTTTTTCCTTAATGTGATCAACCCACCTCCTGGGTTTCTCCTCTTGTACATTCTTGACCTCCAATTTAACATCCATTTCGACCACTTTACTTCCTTTTATCTTGCTATTTGGCCAACCCATCTTTCATTTTGTTCTTCTTCTAATTTCCTCGGTTGATACTCTATTCTTTAAGCTTATTCCTGCCATTGTACGTTCTATTGCTGTTTGTGTTGTTTTTAGTCTTTCCAGTGGCTGCCCATATTAGCCGGATTCTTCTCATTGTTTTAGCCGTTTGGTTCTTTATGCCTAATTTTAATGTGTGACCTAAGTATACGTATTCTTATACATTTTCCAGTGTGTCATTTCCAACTTCTATCCTGTTATTGTCTAGAGACATGATTGTTGTTTTTCGACGCTACTTTAGTTGCGCTGATGAGTATGATGTCATCTGCACAACATTTCAGTTAATTTTTGAGAGACTATATCTCCTTGCCTCACTCAACATTTGGTATTTTTTTTTGTTTTTTACGAGATCCATGGCTGTAAAACTTTCCCAAAGCTCTATCGACTTGAATGCTTTGTTGTAGTCTATAAAAGCTAGATATAGTAAGATGTTATATTCCACGCACTTCTCTGTTAATGTACGGATTGTTTGAATGTGCTGAACCCCTTTCGGAAGCCTGCCTAATTTTCGTCTACTTCATCCATCAATCGGGTCGTCATAATTCTTGCAAACAATTTGTGCAATCTTCATTTGGTGCTTTTTCGTTCTTTATCTGCGTCAAAGCGTACTTTATTTCATTCGTTGTAATGACACAGACATTACAGTTCTTAAAGCACGTTTTTAGATCCTACATTCTTTATTCCTTGAAGGTGTATCTTTGATGGTTGAGGGTTAGTTGATAAATAAAGTTCACTATAAAAGTTTTCATCGATTTCGGCTATCTCTTTGTTTTTATATTTTTCCGCTTTCATTCTTTAGTTGGCACACTCTCACTTTTCCACTTGCCCTTTCGCTCTTTAATACCTTCATGTTTTTGTTGTTCTCAATGACCTCTTTTATTCTCAGTGTGTTACGGTTTCTTACGACTTCTAAAAAGAATATCACAAAATATCACACGATTTGCTGCATTACCAATCGGACAACTTGGTGAAGATGCACAAAAAGAATATATAATAATACAATTTAATAATTAATATATACAATAATTGACGTTTAAATTATTAAACTAGCACTTAGCATTTTTTGTTCTTGATGTTGTATTATAAATAATTAATCGCTCCTTTAACGACTAATTGTTGCAACCGTATTAACGATTTCGTGAAATTAACAACCGTATTTTAATCAGCATTAAAAACAAATTATGTACACAAATTTTCAACTTTGTAGGATACGCATTTCAAAGGTATTGAATTTTGGCCCACCAAAACGCTTTGCTCCAGCGTGCCGGGTCAGCCCTTAATGGGAGTTTAATTATAGGTCGTCAATTAGCTACCAATTACACAGAATTTTTCAAATATAAATAGAAAACAGCCATTAATATTTATGAGGATGTCTAAATAAAACGATGTCATAATAAAATTATTCATGAAGAAACTGAATTCTTTATCTATGTTGATCTTGATAGAATCTCCTTGCACAGGTTCTGAGATAACTCTTTTTTGACCAAAAAAAAAGACTATTTTTTAGAAGCTATTTTCTTGGTTCACCACAATCTTGCATAACGGTACTAAAATATTAAAATTTTGCGCGCTTTACCACAATTGCGCTATCTAGGGCAAATACACTGTTATAGAAAGAAAACGGGCTAATATAGGCCAAATAAATAGGACTATCATATTGATAATTCTGCTTAACCGTTAATTTTTGAACTTGTCAAACATGTTTGATTTTATTATTTTTCCTGGCTCCTATACACCATACTAGGTTGCTACCTCTCCGGATGTTATAAAATTATATAATTTAATATCACTTATAATTAATTTAATTGTTATTAATGTTTTTATTTCTATTCTCGTTTATAAATAGATTATTATCTAAAATTAATGGAGATTTATCAAATAAATCACAAATTTATTTCAATTATATATTGATTGAAAACTTAATAACTTACAAACACTAATTAAAATCACTTATTGTCGCTATATATATGTAATTATTAAAATTTATGAATTTTTTTTAAATATGTGCGTACGTGTCCGATGCTTGCATTTCGTATGAAAATAATGATTATTTGGGTCAATCAAATGATTCACCCTTTATATGTGTCAATGTTAAATATGCAACAACTTTATTTAAAGATTGGACGCGCGCTCGCACAAAACAACCAATTACACGAATGAAACCGGGAAAATGAAATCATATTAATTTGTAACCAATTTATAAAAGATAACAATTTAATGATAAATAGTAAATGCAATGATGTAAATTCAATTCAAGAATTATTTATTATTCCCAGAGTGTAACGCATAATAATCGTTTAATATACAAGTTAATAGATTTAAATACGTTTTAATATTTGCATTCCGGGAAACGGAAATTGGGTTAGTAGGTCAGTTATATGACGCAGTCCGTACACACCAGGAGCAAACCAAATTGCAGCAAATCATCCGGAAGCACGTTTTTTGTTCTCTTTCGAGAACCCGACGAAAAAAGCTGATTTATTTTTGTTGATAAGTTCTTCTCACGTTTGCTTCTTATGAGCACAAGGAAAACGATTTACGCGCGTGTAGATATATGTTGTAACCCGAACACAAACAAGAACAAAAGCATCGTGCAACTATTGTTAGTCCTCTATATGTGTGTGTGTGTGTGTATTTCGATTTCAAATCGTGACGACTGTTTACTGAAACGTTGACAGTTGAGCAATTTTGATCGGTTTTGAACGAAAGACATTCGTCGCCGAGTCGGTTTTATTGTCCGTTGCGCAATACTTTGTTTTAATTCGATTGTTTAAAGTCGATTGTTTTAATTTTTTGATTGGTTAAACTCGATTCAAGGTATCAACGTTTTGTAAACATTACGATGAAATTGTTTTGTTTAGAAAATATAAAGTAGCTTATTAAAATATATTAATATTATTCTGTGGTCAGTTAAATTTAAATCTTGCGTAAAAATTGAAATTAATTCGAAGTTACTTTCAAATCGCATAAAGTAATTAATCGAATGAAAAAAATTTTTGATGATTAAAAAATTAAAAATTTCATAATTATCATCATCTTGTAAATTTTAATGTTACGTTTTTCAATGCTTTTGACGATATTTTGACTTGGTTGTTTGAATCATATTCTTAGGCTTCTGATTGTTGCCTACTTCGTGTTATGGGTTGCCAAACTCATAACACAAAGTTTTAATTATTATTCAGCGCTATTGTTGTATATTTTCATTGAACTAAAAGCAGGAGTAACAATAGACCTAGAGACCTAGACCTAGAGTATATTTTTCATTGAAATAAAAATAGAACTAACACTAGACCTAGAACTAGAAATGTTCGGGTTTAGCCGAACGTCCCTTAAGACGGCTAAACCCGAATGATTGTAGTTCTAGGTATAGTGTTAGTTCTATTAACAGTGATAGAACTAAAATTAACATTATACCTAGAACTAGAAACATTCGGGTTTAGCCGCACGTCTCTCAAGACGGCTAAAGCCGAATGATTCTAGTTCTAGATATAGTGTTAGTTCTATTAACACTGGTAGTGTAGAATTAGAACTAACATTATACCTAGAATTAGAAACATTCGGGTTTAGCCGCACGTCTTTCAAGACGGCTAGTCCCGAATGTTTCTAGTTCTAGTTTTATACCAGGATTATCACTAGAACTAACACAATTCTTAGAACTAGAATCATTCGGGTTTAGCCGTCTTGAGACTTACGGCTAAACCGGAATGTTTTTAGTTCTAGATCTAATGTTAGTTCTAGTGGCAGTGCTAGGTAGCGCTAGTTAGCACTACTATCCGTGCAAAAAGTCAAAGCCCCTCACTTTAGTTATCTATATCTTCGCAACCGTCCGATAAAAAAAATTGCGACAAAGTTTGTTGTAATCACTGAACATTTCTACGTAACATATGCTAATTTGAAAATTTTCGGATCCACGGTTTTCTTTTTATCACGAGTTAAATGAAAAAAGTACCCGATTTTTGAGAGTACCGGCAATTTTGTCAACTTTGCGATTTTTTTTTCTCGAAAACTATCGTACGAAAAAATTAAAATTTTGAACAGGTGGTAGCCTGATGTGTTCTTAATTAGTGGCATATTTTATTTTTTTGACATTTCATACAGTTTCACGGAAAATCGCGGATTTGACCCAAATATATCAAATAATGTCGGTTGTCGGATTCCGTTATTAGCTTTTTCTAATTTTTGAAGAGCGATTTAATGGAATTACAAATTAAAGAGAAACTGAAATAAGCTCTGCGGGGTGTCGGGGGTTTCGTCCAATCGGAACAGATGGTGCATCTCAAACAGGACGTCGCGCCTTATTTCTTTATGTAGGTAAGATAAAGGCGCGACGTACTGTCTGGGACATACCATCTGTTCCGATTGGATGGAACCCTCCTCTCCCCGCAGAACGCTTACGTCACGAACGGGCCCTCGAGTTATGCACCTATTCTCGGCATGTAGCAGTCCTCTTAGATTCTTCCTCTTTTCCGGTATAAATATAAAGCCACGTAGACTGAACATAACAAATAGCTCCTTTTCCCATATAACCCTTTTAATATTTTTATTAGTAACACATAAACATAAACACGCGTTTATATTTTAATTATAATCGTTGATTCTTTGAAATTATTTGTTATTTTCACGTGTATTAATTACAAATGTTTCGATATTTTAAATTTCGCAACGAATCTTACCTGCATTTTTTTAGATTAGACATAGTATCCACTTAAATAAAAACATAACGAACCAAAAGCGAATGCGTGCGCATCCGCTATTCCCCTATCATATGTTTTGATAATGTTATCAATCCGCGTTTGAATGCAAGTAGAAGCCCGTTTTAGTTTTTAGTATCTTAAAAACCTTTTTGTAAGCTTCGCGTTAAATCAAAACGTTTTAATTACGTTTCGAATTTTCATTCTTAATTGATTTAAAATAAAGCGTTTTAGTAAGCTTTTTTTATTGTTTTAATTTTTATCTTAAATAATTTCTTTGTGCTTATTTTTAATTTTGTTCTTATTTTATTTATAGTGATAATGAGCAAACAAGACCGAATGATCCTGGTGGTGGCGGAAACAACAACAATAACAGTTTCGGAGGCCCATTAATGACGAGTGTAGTAAACGGAACAAGTAGAAACGGCAGTTCTTCGGCGTATCTAACCACTTCGATGACTTCTTCTTCCGGAAACCCTCCGATGTTAACCCCGTTCGTTCTCGACGAGTATAACTTTGACTTGCAAACCGTGTGGGGCGATATTTCACTGCCGGATACCCGTAACGAATGCCGGCAAAGTTTGACACCCGCGTCGACGCCATCGTCGCGACCTCCAAGTGCTCCCGCGTACAGCCCCGGAGGCGGAGGAGCGACCGTCCAAAGCCCTATGTCACAATATGTTGTTACACAGCAACAAAGTCCCGCGCCTAATCCCCCAACACCGGCCGCGTATAGTACCTTTAATTATAGTCCTGTGGGTGAAAGTTTCCCGATGGACGAACAAAAAGAGACCAAAGTTATTTTGTTTGAGGATAACCCTTCGCCTATGGTGGTGGTTGGAGGTGGGGATTCGGGAAAATTAAGAGATTTGCTTACGAAGCCGCCGAATTCGGTTGAATCTTCCGATTCGGATAATAAAAACGGCAGGAGTAATAAGAATACGCATAAAATCTTGAAGGACTTGCTTAACCAGAAGGACGAAGATGATAATGAAAATAAAGGCAGTCCTAAAGTGAACAGTTTAGGAAGGGCGAATTCAATAGCTGGACCTTCCGATAATAAACCCAATACTTCAGGAAATTATATGTTAAGAGAGGTAAGGGTTATTTTTTTGTTAAATATTTATTCTAATAATCTATTTGCCCAATTTAATATAAATTAAAAAAGAGATTAGTAAATGATATTTTTAAAACAAAAACAAACAAATTTAATATCTCCTCCACGATAGTTTTGTTTATTATTATTCCCCACCCCCACTTTTTTGTGAACAAAAATAGAAGTAATAGCTCGCTCAGCTGAGTTCTGGAATGTTTCAATTGTTAACTATAACAAGGGGGTTACTACCTGAAGACCTAAACACACTCAATTTCCACAATAGACCCTTCCCCTCTCTATTTTTACACCCCCACTTTGCTATTGTAAAGCTGTGAAAGTAACCCCGTGATTCACTCAGTCTTTTCGCAACTACTTATTGAATCACACTTAAAATAATATGATTTTTCAACAGTTATTAAGTGAAACGAGCGATGACGACGATCGGGACGTAAGGGCAGGTTTGAAACCGCAAAGTGAACTTCTTCAGCAGCTGTTAAAAGATGAACAGCCAAAATCGGAACCGCAATCCCAAGAAGATTCCTTGTTGAAGAGTTTGGGTTTTCCATCACCGACCAGCGGCGAAGGTCGCGGGGTTAAACGACCGCACGAAGAACGTGACCAAAAGAGGAACTCTTCGGACGGTGTTTCGTCAACGGGAACGACAGAATTATGTAAGAAGAATCAAATGTTGGCGAAGTTATTAGCGACGCAACCAAATCCTCAACCCATCCCTCCGGTACCATCGAGTATCATCACCGCAACTCCCCAGGATACGCTCAATAAGACCGGAAGAGTCGTCCCGACAAACGCGATGAAACAGCAAACGTCACCGCATCAAAATCCGAACGCCATGATCGTCGCTGCGGCCGCCGCACGGGGATCACAACGAATGGCCGTTCGTCAACCAACCACAGGCTACCTCAATCAGATACTGTCACCAGATAATTCCGGTATGCAACGTTCGCAAAACGGCCCGTTTAATGCTGTAACCACGGCGGTTGTCGGCCCAGATGGAGTTCAGTGGGAGCAAACTTCCGGATCGGATCCGTATCTTTCACAACTTTTAGACCAAGTCATCGATATCGTTCAACAGGATAGTAGTAACGATATTTTAACGTTACTCGATGCTGCGCCCCAACAAAATAACACAAATGGGTATCAACAGCACGAAGTTATGGCCATTAATAAAATTCAGGAATCTTTAATGCAAATTGAAGCTATGAATAGTCCTACATCACCTAATATTGCACTTACAGTTGCTCCTCCTACGTATCCATCTAGTGTGGTAAGTTATAAATTAAGTATTAAGTAGGCACTAAATTTATTCGAATTTTTTAAAATGTAGTTAACAACGCAAAATGCAAATCAACAACAACCAGGTTTTCAACCTCCAAGACCAGGTTACCAAAGGGCTCCTGTACAGAGGCCGACGCGACCGGCGGCTCCCCAATTTCCGGTATCCGGGGGCGGGCTAATTAACAAACAACTGCCTATGCACCAAAAACTGCCGATGCACACCTCCCAGCAACAGCAGCAGCAGTTCGACCGGGAGAAAGTGCGACTACTTACGCAGCAACAACAACAGCACCTCGTCATCCCGTCCAACGCCACCGTCGAGATGAAACCGGGTATGCAGAATATCGATTCGCTATTAAACAACACGGTCGCTCCAAATGTTTCGTTGCAACGGTCGAATTCCGTTACGGATTCGCAACTTTCGCCGCCTTACCGAGGTCAAATAACTCAGCAACGACAAAGAGTAAGTGGACGAATCAATCAATTGTTTATTTTTTAATAAATGAATGCTTTTTGTAGCAAGGGGCCTTTCCTCCTCAATCAACGGTGGGTAATTACCAACAACATAATGCTGCCAGACTTTCCCCTCACCCGCCGTTTACCCAACAATTATCCCCAAGACAGGTTTATCCACCTGGGTCGAACCAGAATATTAATCCAAATTGGCAACAAAATCGGTTAACGTTGCAACAGCAACAAAATCCTATGCTCAATGCACAGCTGACAGTAAGTATATTTTTTATTTCTATAATTAAATACTCATTTGATGATTATTATTTTTGAAGGGAAACTTTGTGTCTGGTCCATCGACGAGGGGCGGTTTTCCTGTTCAGCATTCGCAGCAGCAACAACAACAAGCGATGGGGGGAAGTCCGGGGGCGGCGGCATCGACGCGACATTCACCCTATTCGGCCGACACTTTCCCACCGGGTTCCCCCAACGCCTCATTCAACCAGAACCAGTACCTGAGATTACAGAGAGCTAACAGTGCACCCACTGCCACCACTCAATTATCAGGTACATTTTATTGAATAAATTACTTTATTTATACATCAAATAAACATTAATATTAGTTTTAATAATAAAAAAAATATAATAAGAATAGGATTTTGTTTGGAAAAAACTTGTATAAAATTAAAGATATATGCCTAGGTGATAGATTTTCTTTTTAAAATGAATTAAATCCTAATAACTCTTAAAGGGTTCTTTTTATTTTTAACTAAAATCATCTTGGAGCATGGTTTGAATTTTTTTGCTACCCGTAGATGCGATGCATCTGTAGACAGAGAAGGTGTAGGTCGTGCATTTGGTCGATTTTCGATTTTTTAATGCATGGTAGAACTTTTTTCTTATTAGAGTAATTTTTCTATAAAAGTATTTCTCCTTTTTTTTACTTGGTATACGATTGTACTAGAAAAGGCATTCAGAAAAAATCACTTTAAATAATTAAAAGAACAAAGAATTTTTTATTAATAGAAAATAATTCAAAGTGGATTTTCTAAACTCCTTTTTAACGTTAAAAAAAATTGTATCAAGAGAGTGGTCATTCCCCTTCAAACAAGAAAGAAAAAGTTGCGTCATACGGAGTGTGGCGAATAACATAATTATTGTTGATCAAAAAGGTATTTCCCGAATCTTTAAATCTGAGGGTAGCGTGTGTTGCAGGTGGCCTGGGCTCCCCCCGGCCTTACGGCAGGGAGCATCCCCCACACTCTTCTTACCCCCCGATCCCACAATCCCCGCACCACACCATGATATACCAACAAGACTCCCAGTACTGTTACGATCAGACGGGTTTACAGTTACCGTACAATGGTGCGGACCGGGGCCGCGTTCCTACACACCTCCAACCCGGTAAGTTATCGGCTGTCCCCCACAAAACAAACCCTCCCAAAGGGTATCGTCATTAAAAAACACCACCAAACCTTTAGCCATTAAAAATACATCGTTCCTAATGTTTTTTGGAATACACAATAAAATCATTCAGCTATTTATGTTATTATTTTGCGATTTAAAAAATTTAACTTCATATTTTGCTCAAAAATAAAATTAACGAATAATTTGAAATCGCAAAATAATAATTTTCACTAAGCGCACCCATGTGGCACCACCAAACTATTTGTCGTACATCCCAAATGTGTCTAACAAAAAAAAAACACTCATCAACATTTTATTTACATGTGCTCGTTACCGTCTCATTTTGCTGTTGCTAAAAAAATACCATCACTGGGGTAACTATTTCCTATAAATGTTCCAAAACCCAATAAAATCCTTTCACATTTTCACCATTTACCTTTAAAAAAATATTTATATGTTGTTCTGCTTATGATATTATGTGCTTGCTATGTTAGTGTTATGTCTAATTTTAATAGCTTTAAGGGTAAACAAAAAAAAATTAAAAAGCATGTTGAATAAACCTTAATTAATTAATAATCATCATCATGTTTTCTTATCATCGTTTATCATCAAAATCGTGTCCGTTTATAACAAATAATTTTATAAAAAAGCTTCACCAGCACGCTTTTATCGTTAAATTTTAAAACAAATTATTTTTCGCTTGTTGTTTCCCGAATTTATTAATAAGTTAATTCTTGTTAATAAATAAAAATATAATTTTTTTGAATTATTTGTGAAAATTAATTGAATTTTGGCGATTATTTAGGTGTATCGGCCAGCGGTGGTACGACGTCGGAATATGTTAGACAAGAACTGCGGAATGTCGTGGGGGCGAGGGCGCAGGCACAGCCCTCGAACACCAGGCCCCAGGGGCAGATACTTACCCAGAACGTCACTCAGGACCTCGATTTAGGTGGACTGAATTATGATCTCCCTACAACAGGTAATAAAAAAAGTAAATAATTTTTTTTTTTGGGCTTTCTTCTTTGTCTTTTTTGTACATTTTTTTTTGTTACGGGGATAATAATAAGTGTGTTTATTATTTGTATAAAGTTAAGAAGCAAAAAAGGGGTTCAAACATCTTATTGTATTATACGTTTTTTTCCCCGGGTTATTTTTTTTTTAATTCTTCTTGTGTTTATTTTTTTGTACATTACTAAATATATTTTTTTTAATGGGGCAGTGTAAACGTAAACTACACTCAATTTATTTATATAAATATTCAAAGTTTTCTTAAACAATTTATTTAAATAAGATTCTTTTGAGGGGTAGTTTACGTTTACCTGCAGGGATTGCGTACAATGATGTCGTTGTTGCGTGCAGGTGCGAGTGAGAGCCCGAAACTTTGGGCTGCGATGGGGTCAGATATGGGCTCAATGTCTCCGCAGCCGGCGACCTCCAGGGTAAGAGCCAAGAGCGTTCGCTTTTTTCCTTCCCTAGCTTGCAAAAAAAATAACTAACTATCCAGCTAACTAGCTTGCATGTTTTATTTCCCTCTGGGTTTTGTTGTTAATGTGATCAAAATAATTTTTCTTTGGGACTAACTTTTTTATACTTTGTAGTTGTGTTTTGTAAATAATTCAAATTTAATAAGCAAAAAGAACAACTATTTATTGAATCAGAACTGATTATTCAGTTAATTACGCAATTCCCTTCTTGATGTGTGTATTTTTTTCTTGGTATTGAATAAATCACTGTTACCATCAATAATAATAATCTACGTTTTAGAATCACAACAGTCGTTGTTGTCTTAATCACTTTTCTATCAGTTCTCATCCACATATTTGAATGAAAATTTTCCCCGTGGGTTGGAAAGAAAACTTGTGATGTCTGATTAGAAGAAGCATCTTGTTGTGCATTATCAACTGGTCAACACTTTAATTCCTTATTAAAAGACCACTTAATTTCGACTACTAGTTAATATGATAAGCAACATTTACCGAAATACGCATAAGTCGTCTTATTTGTTGTACACTGATTAAATAAATAGTTGTATCTAAAAAAAATGATCAGCTTTTGAAAATTAATATATATTTGTAAATAAATCCTGTTGATTAATAACACTCTTCATTTAGTACTAATTTTGGGTTTGACAACGTAAAATGATTTGTATATAAATGTTTATAAAAACGTATAATGATGATTTAATTTTTTTTCCAGACTACTATGGAGGAGGGCCCCCGACAAGGTGATCACAATAACTCGAGATCTTCGCTGCTACAGAAACTGTTATCGGAGTGACCGCGTGTAAATAATAGAGATATATACTACTAGGTACCTCAACGGTAAAAAAAAGTACCGCAGGCTGTAATCTAAACAGGTTAGCTATCAAGTGCATTACTACGTTGCTTGTTTTTGGTTAGGGTAGTGCGGAGCGAGGAAGGCACAAGGGCCCGAGTGCAATTGTACATATAATTAAAACAAAAAAAAGGTAAATAAAATAAAAAAAGAAAGGGAAGTGAGTTTAGAGAGCGAAAAGCGAGCGAGCGAGCGACCGAACGAGCGCAAGAATCTTGTTTGTATTCGTACACACACACACCACACGAAAAAAATTGTAAATTTAAAAAAGTATATATACACACGCGCGTATATATAATTATATATTTTATTAACAAACAAAAAGAGTAAAAAATGAATACAAAATTCCAAACAAATAACAAAAACGCAAGAGCGCCCACAAAAAAAAACAAGCCTGTTAATTCATTTCGAAATGTGTTTAGTGTTGTCTTCCTTTCAGTGAGTGTTCATGCTACGCATTACCAAAAAGAAAAAGCAAAAAAAAAAGAAATAGTAACTGTTAATATTTTATACATAATTTAAAATATGTTATTTGGAGAGCTCGTTTTGTTGGACATATGTGATAGGCAACCCGCCATGTTACTGTTACTAGGATTTCCTAGACTTTATTAGTAATAGCGTTCTTATACTTGATTATTGTCAATTACACCCAGCCACTAAATTAAAAAAAAAAGTAATATGAAAATAAAATGAAAGAAAATATGAACAAATTGACAGACAAAAACATTATTTAATTACACGAGATATTTTTTGTACATTATTGGAGTTTGAAATATATCTATATAATACAATAAAAGTATAATTTCTACTTTAATTTTGTTTTATTATTATTTATTACCTTTCATATGGATTTAAAATTAACGCAATCTCAATTCAATTTATGCATAAAACATAAAGTTAGTTTTTATAATGCTTCATTTGATCAAAAACTGAATAACAACTAAAACTAGCATTAGAACTAATATTAGAACTAGAAATATTCGGGTTTAGCAGTGCGTCTCTTATGACTGCTAAATCAGTCTTAGAAGAAGACTTTTAGTCCAATAAATCCACCAATCTAACGCTGAATAACAACTAAGACTAGCATTAGAACTAGAAACATTTGGGTTTAGCCATGCGTCTCTCAAGACGGCTAAACCCGAATGATTCTTGTTCTAGGTATAGTGTTAGTTCTGTTAATAGTGCTAGTGTAAAACTAAACACTATACCTAGGACGTGTTCATCTACAGTTTAATGTCCGTGTATATGCATTTACGCAGATGATACTTCCGTATTAATAAAAGATTTTGATCAGCAATTACTTTAAAGTCCTTCGCTGCTTTAACTCAGTCAAAGGAATGGTTCATGAACAACTGCCTGAAACTAAATGAAAATTCAAGTCAGCAATTTTTGCAATTAGACGTATCAGCAAAATTGCATCTCATGAAGTGGCCAAAATAGACTATTTTGCAAATTTTCATGCTGTTGCAACCAAGAATTTTTGGTTTGCAGAAGAAGGCGGTGAGAGCTTTATGCAATCTTAAAACTACTGACAGCTGCAAAGATGTATTCAAAAAAGAATGTATACATACCGTACCAAATGCATACATTTTAGCTATCTTCATGCAAGGTTCGTTGAGTAAACATACTGTATAAGGATATCCAACTCCTTATGAACGTATCCCCCCCGCAAAGGCCTTGCTGTGATGTCATTGGAAGAATTAACATTTCTATGTTTTTATTTATACAGTGTATTTCACTTAAGAAGCAACACGCAAAAATATAAAAAAAAGATATAAAATAAAATAAAAAAAATTATTAAAATATAAAGCGAAATATTAACGGTTATAATTTTATTATTGTTAGGTTATCCAACTTGACGCGGTTACCATGGTGATTAAGATCCAAATATTGCAGGTGCTTGTCAAAATTGAAATTGAATTTAAGTTTTTTTAAGAAAAAAAAAATCTTATTTAATTGGTTTAAAAGGCTGTATTTAACTCTAAATTGGTTTATCTAGGTAATTATAAACAAAGTAACTGGATTAAATCAAAAAAAAATATTTTTAATTTAATTTCTCTTAATTAGAATCGATTTTAAATTAATTACAATTAACGAATTTGTTATGAATGCGAGATAATCATAAAGAATTCGAATTGTTTTAAAATTAATAAAAATTAGGTTAGAATTGATAAAAAAATCGGAATAAAATTTTATTATTTTAAGGTTTTCCAACTTGACTCGGTTACCATGGTGATTAAGATCCAAATATTGCAGTTGCTTGTCAAAATTGACGTTGAATTTAAGTTTTTTTAATGAAAAACACATAATTAATTTGATTTAAAGGTTGTATTTAATTCAAAATGAGTAAATGGATGAAATTATAAGCAAGGTAAGTGGATTAAATCAAAAAAAAAAATTTTTAGATCAATTAAAATGTACAAGACTTTAGGGTTAAATAACAATTAAAACTAGAAATAACACTGGACCTAGAACTAGAAAGTTTTAGGTTTAGGGCGTCTTAGACAAGAACTTAGAAAAGTCTGAAGACGTACGGCTAAAAGTTAAGTTAAGTTTTAGACTAGCACTATCACTAGAATTAACACAAAACCTAGAACTAGAATCATTCGGGTTTAGTCGTGAAAAAAACGTTCAGTTGTCAATGTCAACTTTAATTTTATTATTATATTCGTAATCTTCATAAAATAATCTTTAAAGTGAGTCCAAACTTGACGCATTTATCTCAAAAAACCAAAAAGTTCGAACTTTCAATTTTTAATTTTAACATATTTGTCAACTTGATCAAAAATCTTTTAAAATGAGTCCAAACTCGACATATTTAACTTTAATATTAATGGAAATACAATCACTTCCGGTTTGAAACGTCAACGTCAATTTTGACATATTTGTCATCTACATTAAAAAACCTTTAAAATGAGTCCAAAGATGACGCACTTATCTCAAAAACCAAAAAAGTTTGAATAAAAAAAACCCGTTAAACCCGAAGTTAGCAACAATGAAGATAGGAATTTAATTTTTAAATATTAATACCAACCTTAATTTTTAATTATATTTTTGTTTTTGTGACAAATATTAAGAAAGAGAGATCAAAAAATTAAGAATATATCAAAATGACATTGACATTTCAAACCGAAAGTTGCTTATATCTCAACTAATATTGGAATTAAACGTATCATGTTTAGGCTCATTTTAATGGATTTTTCACGACAATTACAAATATGTGAAAATTGACGTTGATATTTCTAACCGGAAGTTGACCATAACTTCATTAATATTGAAGCTAAATATGTCGTGTTTGTACTCATTTTAAAGGATTTTTAATGAAGATTACAACTATGTCAAAATTGAGGTTGGCATTTTAAATCTGAAGTTAGTTGTCATATAATAGACAAATGGACAATTTCATGATGTATTCTTTATTTAAAAAAAAACATTAAAATGACTCCTAACATGATGTTGCTAGATATCACTATGTTGTATATTTTTATTGCACTAAAACTAGAACTAACACTAGACCTAGAATTAGAAAAATTTGGGTTTAGCTGTGCGTCCAATTTGTTCGAGTTGGATAATCTTATAACCAATACTCAAGGGACCTTGCCTTGATGTATGTTTATGACAATATAAGTAAATTTAATGAGAATGCAAAGTTTCACACATACTGATTTCTGGGAAGTTGAATTTTTCAACAAGTTGCCAGAAGAAATCAAATGTATGGAACGAGGGACACTTCAAAAAATGTGTGAAGTCAAGAAAGCTTACAATGTATGGTCTGATTATATGCAGGATCAATTTGTGGAGTAACAAAGTTAATTTGTTTTATTACTGTACTTATTATACATATTTCTTTTTTGTATTACATTGCTATTAACTTTTCACTGTATTATTACTAGCACTAGTTCTAACACTAGACCTGGAAGAAAGATACTGACGTGTTTTCTGAATTACAAAAAAAAACAAGAGAAAAAAGGTAAAAAGATATAAAACTAGAAAACCTTATCATAATCTTTTATTTTTATTTATAAACTAAACATTTTAATCAACATTCATAGCTTGTTGTTCCCCTTCAACATCCCTACACTTAGCATTCTGCAATTCCCTCCTAATCTCAGCTGTAATTGTTGGATGAGATTGTTTCTTAAGAAGCTGCAAAAGAGCATCTCTTTGTTCACTAGAAATATCAGCTTTATATCTCTGCACAAACGTCAAAAAAGCTTGATGCCATAGAACAGGTAATTCCCTTGAATCTCTTTCAAACCTAATAACAAAAAAAAAGTTAACAAAAAATCAAAATTAAATAATTAGGGATATTTTTTACCTCAAAAAATGAAATACAACAGCATCAACAACTCGATAAGGTAAAGCATATTTTTTATCAAAAAATATCCTAAGCATAATAGAATTAGCTCCAGTATAATCCATTTCAGCTATTTTTAATATAGCAGCTGATGAATGTAATATTGGAATTGAATTTTTAGCTATAACAGATCCAACAATGATAGCTTCTCGTAATGTGCAAGATCCACTTTCTAAGAGTGGTAATAAAAATCCTTTCATAAAACCAGCCGGTTTATATAAAGCCTTTCTCAGCGCTTGGTACAAATGGAAGTTTAATCTTTTATATTCAGCTAAATCGTCTCGAATTCTCGGTAATAAAACTAAGTTGTAAAATCGTTGTGCCATTTTCTCTTTTAAATTGGATGCAAAAATTCGTGTTCCTTGATACATAGCAGCTGCTGACCAACTTGGAGGGTCGGTTATGTATAAAATTTGTTCCCAATTTCGTAATGTTGGGATTATTTTAAAAGCTTTAGGTAATTTTCCACTTCTATATTTCCTTAAAACATCTCTAACCCCTTCATATAAAGTTATAATTTTTGGGTGAATATCTTGTATTTGTAAAGAACCAGCATCACTAAATTTAGTATCTAATTCAGTTTGTTTTTCAGTAATTTTTTCTATTATTATATCAGCTAAGGTCCTTTTTGGTGTGGGATTTTTACTCATAAATATTTCCATTGCTTTTTCATCACCCTCATCAATCTCTAACTCTTCGTAAAATTTATCCGAATCTGGTGGTTGTCCACATTCTGACTCAACATCGGAATCATCATCCAATTGAGTTAAAACTTCATTTACATTTTCTCCTAAACTTTGTGCTTCCTCTTCAAGCTCAATTTGTTGTTCCCGCGCCGCGGAAAGAATCTTCCTGGATAAATCTGCATCAACAAACTATAAAATTTTAAAAATTAAATTAATTAAACAAAACATAACCTCAACTAACCTTTTCATGATCATCTTTTCGAACCCTAATTTTATTTCGATTTTTAGGCTTCGCGAATTTATCGTCATCGAGTTGTTCTTCCAATGAAACCTTTTTACCCATTTGGGATGGTTTTAATTTCTTTGCTTTACCCATTTTCTTCTTTTCCGAAAATTATTAAATATACACGTGTTGAAACGTCAAAATCATATACAGCTTTCTACGTTATCTTTTTAACTTATTAATTAATTAACTAATATTGAGGAATTAATTCATTAAATAAATGAATTATTTTAAGATAAATCAACATTTTAAACATAATTAAAAATAAATAATTAAGAAAATTTGTTGCTAATAAGTTAACATAAAAAGTATAGATGGCGCTAGTTGTAATTTTGACGTTTTGAGGTTAATTTTATTTGAAAAACATTTCGTATGGATTAACATTACCAATTTAGCAATTAAAACAAATATTCACTCAGAAATGGTGTTTTATTTTAAAAGCGAGGTTGTTACACCTCCTGTTACTCTTTTTATGGGATTAGACAAGTACGAAAGTAAGCCCACTTAAATTATAACCTCAAAAAAATTCTTTAACCGTAAATTCCATCGTTTTTAGACGAAGATCTGATAAAATGGGGTTGGCCCGAAGACGTATGGTTTCACGTGGACAAACTATCTTCAGCTCACGTTTATTTAAGACTTAACACAGTAAATTTCCCTTAAATAGTAAAAATTTTTTTGATTAGAACAATTTTAGGGCCAAACTATTGAGGATATTCCAAGTTCCGTACTCGAAGATGCCGCACAATTGGTTAAAGCAAATAGTATTATGGGTAATAAAATGAATGATATTGAGGTAGTTTATACAATGTGGTCAAATTTAAAGAAAACTCAAGGCATGGAAGTTGGCCAGGTAGGATTCCACCAAGATAAAGAAGTTAAAAAGATTAAAGTTGCGAAAAGAATTAATGAAATAATGAATAGATTGAATAAAACGAAGAAAGAAGAACATCCAGGTATATAAAAACGATTTTAATGTAATTTGTGTATTTGGTTGCCTATATACTTAAAGATAATTTTATTAGATTTTAGAAGTGAAAGAGAAAAACGCGATAGATTAGAACGTGAGGATAAAAAGAAACTTTTAAGGCAACAAAAAGAAAAGGAGAAGGATGAAATGAAACAAAAACAAGAAGAAGCGGAATTAAGAAGTTACACTTCGCTGATGAAACCTGAAAATATGGATAAATATGACCAAAACAATGATTCTGATGAATTTATGTGATGTTTAAATGATAAGTTGAAGTTTAAAGCAGATTATATTAATGTTCAGGTCATAAACAATGCATTTTGTGTGTATCAAAAATGTAATAAAACAATCATTTAAAAATAAAACGTTTTAATTTATTTATAAAGAAACATTTACAGCCTCCAAAGCATCTCTAATCCAATTGGGATAATCTCCATTAGGATATAAACCATCCATAAAATTTTTAATAAACATAGAAAATTTATTTTCTTTTATACTTTCTCGAATGCTTTTCATTAACCTTAATTGAAATGCAACATTATGAACTGTTAATAAATTACAAGCAACAGGTAAAGCTGTTACAATCCCATGTAAATAAGCTCTTGTATATGTTTTACAAGTAGTACATGAACAATCTTTATCAATTGGGTTCATATCTTTTTTGTATTGTTTTTGTTTCAAATTTAATTGGCCCGTCATTGTTAAAGCACAACCAAATCTCTAAAATTAAATTAATAAATAATTTATATTAATAAATTTTTAAACTTACAGCAGTTCTTGTTGGAAAAACACAATCAAACATATCAACACCTAAAGCGCAACAAACGACTAAATCTACAGCAAAACCAACTCCCATTAAATACCTAGGTTTATCTTTAGGTAAAATATTCGTTGATAACAACACCATTTTCCAAAAATCATCTTTACTTTCACCCCCACTTTAAAATGAATTAATTTAATAAAAAAATTAATATTAAAGCAATAAAATTTACCTCAACCCACCAATTGCATATCCTTTAACATCCCTTTGAATCAAATCTTGCGCACTTTTTGTTCTAAGATCACTAAATAAAGTTCCTTGTACAATTGGGAAAATATTTTGTTCATTAGGATTTTCGTGAGCACTTAAACATCGATCTAACCATCTTGTTGTTCTATCAACTGATTCAGCTATTCTTTCTTTATCTGGGTTGGTTGTTTTAACAACATCATCTAATTGCATGATTATATCAGCACCGATCGCGTTTTGTATTTTAATTGAATGCTCAGGAGTTAACATAACCTCAGATTTGGTATCGTTCAAAGATTGGAATTTAACACCTTCCTCAGTGATTTCAGCCAATTTTAATAACGACACCATTTGAAAACCGCCCGAATCTGTTAATAAGGCACCATCCCAACCCATAAATTTGTGCAAACCACCAGCTTGTTTTAAAATATCAGGACCCTAAATAAAAATTGAAATTAATATAAATATAAAAGTTAAGTATATTTTTGTATTTACTGGATGTGTTCCTAAATGATACGTATTTGCTAACATAATTTGTACTCCTAAATTGTGTAATTGTTCCGGTAATAACCCTTTTAAAGTACCCTGAAGTAAAAGAAATTAATTTTTTGTTTATTAATTAAAAAAAAATTACTTGTGTTCCCACTGGCATAAAAACGGGTGTATCGACTTCGCTATGAGGTAAAATCATTTTTGCTACGCGTCCTTTAGTCGTTTTACATTCCGAAATTATGTTAAAAATTAAAGGATTTGTTGTTGAAGACATTTTGAGGTTAGGTCTCATATCAACACGTTTTTTAAACGTCAAATTGACATTTCTTAGTAGCGCCATCTATTTATAAATGTTTATGATGTGAATTCAAAAATATGTTTGGGTTAAATTAAAATTATGTTATATATATCATAAAGAATTAGATTCTAAATGAAATAATTAAATATAAATTTATTTAGTTATTACAATTTATAAATATTTTTGTTATAATAAAATAAATGTTTGAAATGGTGCCATCTATCCATTCAAAATCAAACTAATATTTGAATTCAAAATTAATACAAAGTTTTAATCACTTTTTTAATTGTTACATATTATTATTGTGTATTTATATCATTTTGGGTATATTTTAAATCAATATTTTTAGCTTTCAATTATATTTTAACCAGATTATTTAATTAATTAAATTAATTAAAATTGAGATTATTTAATATTTAAGTTTTAAAGTGTAAACAAACATTCGTTATAATCTTATTGCATCAGAATCGTACAAAAACAACTTGATTAAAAAAATTCTTTAATTCTTTTTATGTGGTAAAAGTGCAGTATTTCCTATCCTTACAAGACAGGATATCCACTCACGAGCGCGCAACGCTTCTAAGGCTTAAATTTCAGCAGTAAATTACGTCAGCCTGAACGATTATACATGTTATCGAACCCGCCCAAGTTTCTTTCGCAGTAGTTCTCTTCTTCTTTAAGAGATTAGACGCCTTACAGAGTCAGCATGAGTTGTCCAATAGGAAACAGGTAAGTTAATCGATCAATTTGCTTCACCTTTATGTTCATGTTCAACCAATTTATCCATCATAATCCGTTTAGATATGCTGACGAACAGGATGGTGCCCAGCTTGGCGAAGAAGCTGGAATGCTGTATGGGGAATATCTTATGTTGGATAAAGTTTTGGGCGCCCAAAGAATGTTAAGTAAAGTACATAATAAACCAGTCCACGACGAGCATCTCTTTATAGTTACCCATCAAGGTAAGATTTTCAAAAAAATTAATAAGTAGTAAAGTTTAAATTTTTATTTAGCTTATGAATTATGGTTTAAACAAGTAATTTTTGAATTGGATTCGATTAGATCCGTCTTCAGTGTTCCGATGGAGGAATCTCAAACTTTGGAAATTTTAAAACGGTTAAATCGTGTGGTGCTCATATTAAAAGTAAGAAAATAGTTATAAAAAAAACAACTTTTCGGAACTTTGCGTAATATGTTTTTGATAAAATTTGACCTAATTCGACCTAACACGGAGTGTTTTAATGACGTTTGGAAATCTTTAAATTAGAATCTCTTATTTATTTATGGCGCAATTCGCAAAAAAATATAAATAACTCAATAATGCAATAACACGAGATTATCATTATAATAATCATAATAATAAACATGTTGTTTAGCTTTTGGTGGATCAAGTGATGATATTAGAAACGATGACCCCATTGGATTTCATGGATTTTCGCGAATATCTCTGCCCAGCTTCAGGATTTCAAAGTTTACAGTTTCGTTTGTTGGAAAATAAATTGGGCGTGAAACAAGAAAATCGCGTTAAATACAATCAAAATTATCAAAGAGTTTTTGGAGACGATCCCGTAAGATTTCCAAATTTTAAATGAAATCAATTTAAATTACTTTGAGTTTAATAGGAAGCTGTAAAACGAATTGAGGACTCTGAAAAACAACCGTCTTTAGTAGTTTTGGTTGAAAAGTGGTTGGAAAGATCTCCTGGTTTGGAATTGAGCGGGTTTAATTTTTGGGGAAAATATCAAAAAGCTGTTGAAAAATTATTGAGTGAACATGAAAAATTAGCCAACGTAAATATTAATAAATTTTTTTAATATTGGTGATTTAAAAGTAAATGACAAAATTAAATTTTTTCTTTTCAAGTTTTGTTCAAGAGGAGACTTAATTAATTGTTCGTCTCTCCATTAATGTTGCACTGCATGCATCATCTGCTATCTAGCAATCAGATTGATATCTTATTTGTCCTCCTGCCTCAACAATTCTATTTAAATGAAAAACTAACATTAACTCCAACATTGTCACAATTATTAACATGAATTTCCGGTAATTTTAAATTTCTGGTTACTTGTGGTTGGAAGATAAGGTTGGCGGCAAAAAAGATCTGCTCTTCCTTTATTGGCGATACTAACGGTGCTGTAGATGTTGATGGCAACAGATTTTTATTCTGGAAATTTCCAAGCATCTTCTTAGCGGTTTCTATGTTGGTGTGGACGGAATCTTCAACGTACGCCAGCCCCATGGCGTTTGACATCTAGAATGTTGCCTCCACGGTTTGCCAAAAGTGTTGCCGAGGACTTATGGTAACAGTGGCCATGGATGTGTTCTGAATGAATTCTTCAATTTGTCGTCGGTAGACTTCCACTCTTTTTAATGGAGTTAGTTTGTCCTTGGCTATCGGGAGTGTGTTCCGAATCTTGCTGACCGTCCCGTATCGCACCACGATATCGTTTTTCTTGAGGTGCCTGGCAATTCGTTCCGTCACACCTGAAACATAGGGAAGACAGATAAATCCAAGTGGTTGTGTACTTACCGCGTCCTCTTTCTGCTTTCGCTGCTTGATGGTCCGGTTGATGTCCTTCGAAGTGTATCCGTTCTTCTGCAGCACGCCTCGTAGAAATTGTTGCTCTTGCTTCAAGTTATCTCCTTCACATATTCTCGCTGCTCGTTGAAATAAAGTACGGATCACGGATCTCTTCTGTTGGGGATGATGATGTGACGAAGCTTGCAGATACCTGTTGGTATGGGTTTTCTTCCGATATACACCAAGTTCCATATCCCCATTTGTCGTCCTGGTGACTAACACATCTAGGAAAGGTTTTTGGCAGTTTCTGTTTCTATGGTAAACTTAATCATCGGATGTTGAGTGTTCAAGTGATCCAAGAACTCTTGACGCCGTTTTTTACCATGTTGCCATATTACAAACGTGTCATCCACATATCGGAGCTATAGTTTTGGTTTCCACTGGTTCTTCTTCAAAGCGTCTTCTTCGGATAATTCCATGTAGAAATTAGCTATAACTGGCGATAATGAAGAACTGTTCGTAAAATTCTCCTTTCCAGCTGAAATACGTCGACGATAAACAGTACTCCACTAGATCTGATACGTATTCTGGCCATCCCTCGGGAATGAGCTTCTGGCTGAGGCCATCCACAGCATCCTTAATTGGTACCCTGGTAAAAAGAGACTCAACATCTAAACCTACCAAAATATATTCAGCATCTAGCTTTATACCTTTTATCGTTTCCACAAAATGTGTAGAATCCCTGACATATGATTCCGTGTTCCCTGTAAAAGGAGAAAGAATCTTTGTGAGATGTTTCGCCAACTAGTATGTTGGGGAGTTGATAGCGGAGGGGGACGTCTGGTTTATGAATCTTCATCTTCAATCCTTTTTGCTGTTCTGCTGGAATTCTTGTGGATTTTATCAGGTCCTTCATTTTCCTTACGATTCTGTTTGTGGGGTCCTTCTTGATCTTCCTGTAGGTGGCTGGGTCCTGTAAGTGGCTGGGCATTCCACTTGTCTGGTGTCCAGCCTTCTCCATTGTTAGTCTGTCCACTTTATCCCAGTCTTCTCCGGACATAAAATCGGAATGTGAGAGGTGGAGTCGTATTTTCTGTAGATCATCGAAGGTTTTGTGGATTCTTTCTCGTAGTAGTGCTTGTTCTGTCCTAATCAAGATTCTACGTGCTGCAGCGGAATCGATGTGGTGCTTCACCTTCAAGAAGGTTGGTCAGTTTTCCTTCGTCAGTTTTTGAAGCCTTCGTACTTATACGCATTAAATTAACAATGATTACCTTTGTTCATGTCGTTACTACGGTAATAACAATAACTGGCTTATTAAAAGATAACACAGATCTCCAAAAAAGGGGTGTTGATTGTTGAATCATTTCCCAAGTAATTTTCTGCATGGAATGCTCAGAATTGAACCGTCAGGATTTTGAGATTATCATATAAATGACAAGAAGTTCGCTTCAAAATTTAATATTTTGTTTCAAGAAGAACGAAATTCACAAAAGATTTTGTCAATTACTTTTGAATTTTACTTTTATTTCATTTTAATCAATTTTAATTATTTAGGAATGTACAGTAGAAAAGGTCAAAAAATACAGATTAATGGATTTAGAAAAACGTCGTGAAGTTTACGAATCGATCTTTAACCCTTTAATTCATGACGGTTTAATATCAAGAGGAGAACGTCGATTTTCCCATAAAGCTCTACAAGCTGCAATTATGATCACTTTTTACAGAGATGAACCAAGATTTAGTCAACCGCACCAAATTTTAACACTTTTAATGGATATAGATTCATTAATTACTAAATGGAGATGTATTATTTTATATTATTATAACTTTTTTATTGGTGTTACATTTGTTTTTTTTTAGATAATCACGTTTTAATGGTACAAAGAATGTTGGGTTCATCTCAATTAGGAACTGGGGGTTCTTCGGGATATCAATATTTAAGGTCAACGTTAAGTGATCGATACAAAGTATTTTTGGATTTGTTTAATTTGTCGACATTTTTAATTCCTCGGGAGTTTATTCCTCCACTTACGGCTGATTTTAAAAATAATCTTTGTTATAGCGGTTATAGTAAAGATTTACCGGAAGAAAATAATAAAATAACCAACGGAAATTGTACGATTAATAGTAATAAAATTTAAATGTTGTGAATAAAATAATTAGAATTATTTATACGTACATTATTAATAAATAATTAAACAATTATTTTTTCATTTTTTATTTTATTTTATTGATATAAAGCTTTTATACCAGTAATATCATCTGAATGAAGTTCCGGATAATATTTATGTAGAATAGGAAACATAATTGCAGCTTTTGTATCGGAATGGCGCAACCCCAAAGCATGACCGATTTCGTGTAAAGCAACTTGATAAAAATTACTATGTCCAGGAAGGTTGTTATTGCTCCATAGTCTTCGGCTGGTAAAAACTATTTTTCCAACAGGCTAAAAATCATTTGTTTATTATTTTTTTTTTGTATCATTTTTATATTTACTGGATAATAAGCATAACCAAGTGTTGACATTTCATCAATATAATTGAAGTCCATTTTTAAATGAGAAGTCATTCGATCTGATTTTACAAATTGTATTCCTGAATGTCTCGACCACATTTCAAAAGCTCGTTTTAAACCATCATCTATAATCGAGCTGGTAACATTGGTGGGATATTTCATATTGTAAGTTAATTTTTTTCGATTCCAAAGATATTCTGAAATGTTAGTTAATATTAAATTATTTTTTTTTTAATTTTTATACTTTACTGTATAATTCATATCTTCTAACTCGATTTTCAGAATCTGCATCTTCAGGGTTTGGATTAAAACATCTCCCAGCTTTCATCATTTCTTTTGTATCAGCATCAAGAACACCTAATAAAATTTTAAATAACGTTTTTCTTAGTTAAATCTCTTTTATTTAAATAATTACCTGTAACTGGGATTTGAGCATAATTTTGGAAATCTTTCATTCCTTCAGTAAATTCACTTGGAGATGGGTTAGCACTTTTTATGTGCTTATAATGATGTAAATATTCCTAAAGTAATTAAAGTAATTAAAGTTATTTATTAAATTATTTAATTTAATTACAGTGGCCTCTTTGTTAGTAAGGCAATGTATTTGAGGCAAAAAAATTAACGTTATCAAAATTAATAAAGCCATCTTTCGCTTCCAAATGTAACCACAAACTAATAAAACATTGTGCAAATAGGAGTATTTATAAATAAGTATTAATTTTTTTTGGAAATAAGATTACAAGTTTCGTGCACTTTGCGTAAATAGCCATTTTTATTAAATTTGTAAATAACAAATCTGAATAAATAATTAATTGTTGAATTAAAATTTCATTAATATAAACAAAGATAAATAATCTCAGACCTTTGCCTTCTTTTAATAAAATCAACAGATAAATCCAGTATGTAAATACCCGGTGTTGAATCAACATTATGGACTTAAAAATTCTAATTTATTTTACAGTTTTATCTCTTTCTAACGTTTTTGCAATGAATAAAAGCGATGGTATTGATTATCTTCATTATTTTGGTTACATGAATGAGAAGGATGAATCAAATTTTGATGAGTGTTTGAAAAAATTTCAAAAATTTGCTTCAATCAAAACCACAGGTAAATATAAATGTTTAATAAATAGAATTAATAAAGTAATGATTTCTTATAAGGTTTATTAGATGATGAAACGGTTAAAATGATGGATATGTATAGATGTGGGTGTAGCGATAAATCAAAAATGAGGGTTAAAAGGTTCAGTATTCAAGGTATTTTAATAAATGTTAATTATTTTTAATTTTTGTTTTAAATTTTTATTTTTTTTAAAGGAAGTAAATGGAGAATAACCGACATAAAATATAAAATAAATTACCCCGAAGATTTACAACATTTAATTCATTCGTCTGTTTATCGCGCTTTTAATGAATGGGCAAAACATATTGATTTAAGTTTCTCGGAAGTAGAACAAAGTAGGGATGCTTTATTACATATTTCTTTTCGTCCTATGGATAAAGAAAAAATTTTTGGAATGGCACAATACCCTGTAAGTAATAATACAAACAATAATTATTAAATTAATATAATAATTAATAATTATTTTAAGATTTTTGGTGGAAATATTAATTTTAATGAAAATTTGGATTGGTCCAATAAATCTATCGCTGATTTATATCAAATAGCTCTCCACGAAATTGGACATACGTTGGGTTTGGGTCATTCAATGGATAAAAACAGCATTATGTATCCGTTTTATAATCCAACAGAGAGTAAATGTTTAGTGAATGATGATATTGAAGGTATTAAAACTTTATACGTTGTAAATTAAATGATTTAATAAATTCTTATTAAGATTTTAACTAACAATAAATCAATGTACTTTAATGACTTAAAGAAAATGACTTAAAGTTTGACCAACAAAAATTCCAATTCGTTTTGTGGAGATAAAAGTCCTATGTTGTTTCTATACCGGATATAAAGTTAATTAATTATCACATCCGACTTATCCGAATTATCATGGAAAGTGTGCAACCAATATTACAGTTATGGTATTCAACGCGACGAAAATCCCCAAAAACGACGGCGATAATTCAGTAACTTCAAAAACCGTGTGTCAAATTCAAACTGGATTGAATCTAAAAGATTTAAGGCCCACTTTTACCATCCTCCTGATAAACTATCTAGAGGATAGTTGCCATGGTTACGGCGGTTTGAAGCACTCTCATTGGCTAAGAGCTGGATTTATCTATCGGATAAATTTATCAAGAGGTGGTAAAAGTGGGTCTAAGGGCCGGTTTATCAATATCTACTTAAGACGATTTATCTGTGAATTAAAATTGTAGCTGATAGATAACGTCGACGAATCGTTTATCCACCCGTAGTTTAGGGTAATCTTATAGATAAATATGACATTTGGATACACACCAGATTGAAGTACTGGTTAAGGATTTACCTATTAGATATTGTCAAAAAAATGTGAGCACAAGTTTGGTTGCTTGGTGAAAGGAAATAACAATAAAATCAAAATATAACGTCAAAAAATAAATTAAGCTTATAATTGTGGTGATGGATAAGCAAGAGAAAGAAATGATCATCAAATTTTAGTACTGCAGAAAAGATCTTGCTGATGGATTTGGCAAACGAATATAAAAATGTTATAGAAAATAAATAATAATCTAGTAATTTAAAAAAAATATATAATCTATCATCTAATATAGTATAATCTCGTCTTAATTTAACCAAGATTGACAAAACTGTATCCTTTTTTACCCGAATTCTAACAAAAAAACGTGGTCGTCCAACTCCTTAAAGTGGTTTTGACTTTTGTCTTTCTTTTATAATATATGGTCGTCGTTTATAATTTAAGAGTTGGACAATATCCTCATCTTTATCGCTGTCTAATAAATATTCATGTAGGAATTCCATTATAAAAAAGGTTTTCGAAAACAAAGCACAATACCGAAAGCACACAGGAATGATAACCTCCAAAACACGATCTGCTGTTTATATCAACTTCATAAACTAAAGTCAATTATTCAAATTTAACCAATTACGTTTCATTTCCGTTTCTAATGTTAACACTCAGGGGTACCATCTATGTTCTATCTCGAAGGTTGCTGCCTGTCGAATAGAAAGTTGCTGGATAAACAGTTCACTGAGGTTATCTGTTAGGCAAGTTTATCCATGAGTTGCGTATCTAACAGATTTAACTCGACATTGATAAACCGGCCCTTAGTGAGGCAAATTTTGTATTTTTTCATCTATTATTGGCAATATAAACTATGTGCCTTAATAGTTGATACGGAATTTTACGAGATGAAAAATTCTTTTATGTCAAATTTGAAAAGAATTAAAATGATTTAATAAATCAATAAAAAAACATAATTGACAAAGCGGAAAGAAAATGCTTGAGGATTATCTCCCAGAAGATTAGACAGCCAAACAACCCATTGCAAAACGTAAGAAACGAGACCCTATACGAAATGATTGGTATTGAACTTATAAGACTAAGACTAGACAGACTACGGAAGAAATTTTTAGACAACAGAAACAATTATGAAAAAATACATAAATTATGTTTAAAGAGACAAGCTGCACAGATATAAGTTGATCAGAGCAAGACAATATTCGAACTTTTTTCATAAATACTTATCTGATAATTAATAATAAATTTATTAAATTCTTTGTTGTAATTATGCCAGCGAAAAGACCATTAGGCAGAAAGATTTATTTCTCTTCTCAAAAAAAAAAATTAAATAAAACACAATAATATTTACAAGCATTTATTATTAGTCAATCAGTATCATAATTATTATCTTTAATAGTTATTTTTTTTTAGTACGCCAACGGCTCACAACAATAATGTTTGATAATGTTACTTTTAGTTAGATGAGATTCATTATCGGTTTTACCTTTTTATATATTTCCTTTCTTTTCTTCTAAGCATTTTTTTCGCCCTCGTATTTACTTTAGTTAGGTATAGATTTGCGGTGTCTAAAAATTCGACCGAGAATAAATATTCAGTTTTATTTATTTATTTTATTTTTCAATAGGCCATTCTAAAATCGCGTTTACAACTAACTCTTATCGGCAAATTGCGCTGCGTTAAAAATTAATCTCAACAGATCATAACAATGAATTTACTTATTTAATTTTTTTGTTTTATTTATTTTAGCGCACTGATTTCGACAGTTTTTTTTTATTTTATTTAATTTTTTTTTTAAAATACGCAATATATAATTTGTTTTTTTTTTATTAAATCTTAAGATATAAAAAAAGGAAATAACAATTTCTCTCCTTTTTCATTTACATTCTCTTTTCATCTTTTTTTTCTTTTTAAAAAGCAAAAAACTTAACACTTAAACACTAAATTGTAACCGTAAGTTTACAAATTGTACTATAATTATACTTAAGACCGATCGAACTCAACTTTACTCATATTATCAAATTTTTTTCTTTTTCACCTTTCTTCTTTGGACATTATTATTTTTTTTTAATATAATCGCTGTATCGTTAGGCTTACAATTGTTCATTTTCTTTTCTTTAATTGAATTATAAATAGCGGTTTATAATACAAGCAATTGAATTTATATTTAATTTCTTTTTTGTTAATATTTATCTTGTTTGTTACATTTTCATTGTTTTCTTTTTCATTTTTAATGGAAGATCCACAGAGAGCAACTCCGTTTATCATTAAAATTATCTAATTTTAACTATATTCTATTGATATGTCCGTTTGCTTTTTTGGAACACCGAACGTATTTTTAGGTATTTAAGATAGGAAGTAAGCTAAAATTATTATCTTTTTGTTTGGGGAATTAGCTAATTTATTTAATAATTTATTACATGGTGATACACAAAAATGTATTCAAAAAATTACTTAATACCTTTGAGAGAGATAAAGATTTTTTTATTTAAACACATTTTAATGGCTCACCATGTATATAAACATACAGTTTACATATACAGATCGTTTCTTTAAATTTAATTTATTTCGATTTAATTTATTTAATAAATTTATTTTATAAGTAACTTTTTTTTGTTCTCGTTTCGTTTATTTCCCATCTAATACCTACTCAAAGACGTACACGCCACGTGTATGAGTGTTATTTATTTATTTATTATTTTTTTCTTTAATTTCGTGTGTGTGCACTTATTAAAAACCTACTACTCTTATAAAATGTACAAGATTACTGGTCGTTTTTGTTAGTTTTTTTTTAATTTTTATTTTTTTTTGGTTAAATCTTTTTATCGTTTTATGTCTATCATTATTTTATTGATCTTTATTGACGTTACTACTTACGTTTAGCGTTTATTTTTATTTCCTAAACGTACACAATTTAGCTTTTCGGTGGGGAAAAATTATTATAGGAAAAACTGTCGTTGCTAAAAACACTAACCTTTTCTTTATGAGTCCACTAACCTTTTTTTTTGTTTGTTCTTATTTCCCGTTACGATTTTTTTAATTTTTTTTCTTATTCTCGATAATAGCTCGTTTAAGTAGATTTTTGCATTTGGGTTCTTTTCTTACTTACATTTTAACCGAAAATCTTAATTAACTCGCGAAGGATTTTTCTTTATTTTGGAGTAGGTATTATTTTTTGTTTGTTCTTGTAAATTCGTGTCGTCTCAGAATTGAGTCGGTTTTGATTGGATATGTAAACATTAAAATTTAGAAAAAAAGATCATAAAATAAACTTATCATGATTATGTGTTTACTTAAATTTATATATTTAATATTATTCTTTGGAAAAGCGGTTTTTATGGAGTTATATTGGGTACATTTTATTTTAATTATTTAATTGATATAACATTAATTATTTTTTTGAAATGAACTTGTATTTAAGTGGAAGACAAATGAGCAATCTTATCTATTTCAAAATTTAAAAAATATTCCAGTTTTTCATACAGTGTATCATAATAAGTCAAAAATCATTTCATAAGAATTTTGAGTTAGTTAAAAAATATATATTTTATACCAAACGTATTAAAGTCATGTCGCGACAAGTTTGAACATGCCAAAGAAACTTTGCGCAACAGTTCTGCGCGGAATACACCATACACTTACTAAAAATGTTTGCCAGCGCTATGATGGAAATCTTGATTCAGTAAAAAATATTTCTCAAAAAATAAAATTGATTTGAAAACGAATTGTATTATTGAAATGTAGATGTCAACCCAGCAGAGGTGCGAAGTATATGCCAAAAACAGATTACCACAAGTTTCATCATACATCAAAATCATCGTTAGTGGCATTTGTGTCATCATAAACGGCTTCCCAATGCATTTGTGCCTAATATGGATTGTTTTTACTTATCGTAATAAAAATAAATATGTTTCTGTGCATATTTTCAGCCCTCCATATTATTAAGTAATGTTTTAATATTGCCAATGATATTTTGCTTCTGCGCATGAAGTTCTCTTCTTCAAATTGCTATGGTATTATATCTGTTCCTGATAATTCATCTATTCATGTAATGATTGGGTTTTACCCATGATAATTTCCTTTGTTCATAATATTTTAACTACGCAAGCTTCTGCGCAAGTTATTTTGTTTCTGGAAGTATTGCCATCCTTCTGCATATAATATTTAAGTATTGCGCATGAGATGCTAAATATTTTCCTATGACCAGGGTATTTTCCTTCTACACAAGATGATTTATTTCTCGAACTAAGCTTTTCCTTCTGCCTATGATATAATATTTCTGGATGTATTCATGATATTTTTTTACTCCTAATGTTTTCCTTTTAGCACGATATTGTCTTTCTGTCCAAAATATCTTGTTACTGGGAACAATTTTTTCTTACTGGCTATGATACTTCGCTGCTATGCATGATATTTCGTCTACAAGTTGCCATGATATTACTTTTGCTCCTGCCGTTTCATTTCTGTGTGGAATAAAATGCTTTTACCCATGACATTTAGCTTCAGCGTACGAATGTTTTATTGAATAGAATCTGTTAGTATGATTTTTTGATTCAACCTAAGATATTTTGTTCACGACAACAATATTCTTTTAGCGCATGATGTTATTTTCTGCAAATTGTCGCGATATTACTTCTGCTTTTTATATTTCGCTTTTTCAATTACCGGTCTTCAATCATGATGTGTTACTATCACACAATACATTCATTGAGTACATATGAGTACATTGAGTTCACATTGAGTACGTATTTTTAATTCTGTGCAAGATATTCCGTTTCTGGTATCAATGTTTTACTTTTAACGATGATATTTTGTTTCTGAGCATAATGTTTTCTACTACACCTGCTTATGCTATTAATTTTTACTGGCTTTTGAGCATGATGTTTCGCTTTCAAGTTTTCAACCATGATAATATGGGCATAATGTGATATTTTGCTTCTGGGCATAATATTTTCTTCTATGCGTATTCATGATATTTATTTCGACCACAATTCTTTCTGTCTGAGCAAGACATTTTTTTGTGTCCAAGATATTTTGTGCCTGGGATTAAATACCTTTCTGTCTATGATGTTTTGCTTCTGCGCATGATGTTTTCTTTTGCAAATTACCATTTTTTATCTAATGATTAGCTTTTAGCCATATTTTGCTTCTCCGCCTATTCCTGATACCCTCGCATTATTTTACCTCTGACTAAGCTATTTAGCTTGTGTACAAAATATTTTATATCTAGGAATAATGTTATCTTTCTGCCTAAGATATTTTTCTTCTGCGCATGTTATTTTCTTATGCAAGTTGCCATGTTATTGCTTCTTCTCTTCATATTCCTTCTTGTTATCTAATAATCAGCTTTTATCAGCATATTTTTTCTGGGCCTGTTCATAATTTTTATTTTTCCTACACTATTTTCCCTCTGACCTTTTTACCTGTGATTATTTATTGTTAATAAAAAAACAAATTTAAATTGACGTACAAAACAAAGCGGTATGCAGTTTGCGCGTCGAACAAAAAGCAAAGGAATTCTAAACATTTATGTAAACTATCCAAACACTTTCTGTGTTTAGAACGTGGAATAATGATTTGTGGAAACGAAATAAAATAAAAAATAAATCACATAAAATTAAATAGTTTTTTACTGAAAAAAGATTTCGTTATCTTAAACCGTTTTTGAGATATTATATAAATATTGAATCACACTGTATGAATTAGATATGTTTTTCTTATTTAATAAATGTTGATGGAAGAAAATAAATTGATTGCGATGAAGTTATAGTTTGTTAGCTGAATTATACTTGAAAGATAATAATCTAACAATAATCATTTTTGGGGTTACAATTAGGTATTACGATTTGTTATTTAATTAACTCTATTTATTTTCTCCTTCGCATCGTTTATTGTGCTGTTTGTGCGCTACTCGCTATTATTTGAGTCTAATTTGCGGAGGCACTAGATTCAAATTAATATATTTTTTTTAATTAATCTCCTGGTTTCATTCTAAATTTTACACTTTTTATTACTCCCCATTATTCAGCTAGATTCATCAGTGATAGATAGAGAGAGAGATAGAGATAGAGTCTCCACTAATAATTGTTTTACACGTGAGTAAGGCAGCAAAGATTTAAGTAAATAGCTGAGCTAGTTAACATTTTGTTTCATTTTATCTGTCACAATTACATTAATAATTATATTAATAATCAAATCGATTTTTATTCGTAAAAGAATATTTCTTTTTGGGGTTCGTTTTTGAAATTAATTTTTATCTCATCGATTTGAAATGTACACTAACTGTATCGTTTTTTTTTTCAGTCACCTTTCGGTTTCGATTCTTGTTCTTGATATGTAAATAAAGTTTTGTGTTTTTAAGGTTTATTTTCGACCATTTTTTTTTATTAATTGACAATTAATTAGTGAATATTTATAAACTAACCGGTAGGTGACTGTACAGTTTTATCTCCTTATGTTTTATTAAGTTTTATTTTACTTATTCTTTTGGCAACTACTACTACATTTAATTTAGGCCTATAGCACATTTACTTATTAAAAATTACATAAATTTTTTTTTCACACCGGACTGGTTTGGTCCAATTTTCTTACACACATTTTTTTTTTAATTTAATTTATCCCGTCTCACCTTCTTTGTAGCGGAAAAATAGTTTTTTTTTTATTTTTTCATTGAGTATTAGATTTCGCAGCGATTTTACAATTCCAAAATCGCATTGCAGTTACCTCAGGTAATTTTTTTAATATTTGGGTAATTTTTGTTTCCAGCCCTACTGTAGCTTTTACATTTTTCTTACGTGGTACTATTGATATTTTTATTCTTCATTAAAAAAGCGCGGGATTACATTTTGAACTGCTCGGAGGATTCTTTTGAAAATCATTTTTCTACTTTAGAGCTCGTCACCACCAATATGGTGGCGAAAATCGATCGCTTTTCACTACATTTTGTATTTAATCAATTTTCATCCATCATTTTTACATACATATCTTCAATACATCGATTTTACATCGTGGTTATCTCCAATTTTTCTTCTTAAATTATTCGAAAATTAGATTCCGAATGAATTTTTTATTGATGTCAGCAGAAAGATGACTGGGACACCGATGATGATGATATTCGATTTAAGCACATTTGCTTCGTTTGTGCAATTTTTTGGGCTGTATTCTTTTTGTAGTTCAGCTGAAATAAATTATAGAATTCATTATTAATGAAATCATTAAAAATTAAAGTTAAAACATAGTTAGTAGTAAGTTTTACCAAGTTAATCGAGCTTTAACATAACGTTAATTGAGAATTTTCGTTTTGTCGTTGGCTAAACTGCAATGTTAGCTTTCGATTAAGATGACGTGACGCCAATTTTATCTTATTAAAGCTAAGTTTATGTATAGTGACGTTTCTGACATGGTTTATTTAATTAATCAGAGATTAACTTGAAAATTAAAGTTAAAACATAATTAACATAACGTTAATTGAGAATTTCGTTTTTGGTTAGCTAAAGTGCAATGTTAGCTTTCGATTAAGTTGACGTGTCGCCAATTTTACCTTATTAAAGCTACGTTTATGTATAGTGACGTTTCTGGCATGGTTTATCTAATTAATCGGATATTAACTTGCCGTTAATCAACCATTTTGAATAGGTTGAAATGAAACCATACCTGCTTGATGACAACCTTTGCGTGATGGAAAATGAATCTAAATCTAGTTCTACTCCACTATTCTTCGAAATTATAGGAATACCAGGAAGATATTTTATGAGGTTCACCTTCCTAAGTCGTATTTTATTAGTTTACAAATGCTTAATTTGGTTGGTAGCACTTTTTCCCCATATCTAGTAATTTGTGTCGTAGGTTGGTGACAAAAAATGATGACATGGAGAACGAAATCTAATATCTTGATAGGTTTGTTACCTACTTATTTTTGTTTATTACCTAATAGTATCTATTAATGGTATTGATAATTGATACGTTATTTGTAGTATCACCCAGCACTACTTAGTATGTTGTTGTAATGGTCCAATGTAATCGACACCATTTACTCGGGCGATGATGCACAAGTTACATATTTATGTATCAAGGATAGGACTGGAAATGGTCCTTCAAGTATTCATCGACGACGAATTATAAATGATAGCCAACGTTGTTATTCTAGCTTGTCTTCATAAAATAGTTTAATTTGATCAAGTTTAAATGAAAAAGGTTCGATATGTATTTAAGTGCTACACCAGGTTAGACGAATTCAATTCAAAAGTTGATGCGGATCTACGATTTTTGATTAATAGCCATGTACCGAATTCAGTTACCGTAGCTAATTCTGTTTTTGAGTTATTGTATTTGCATGCATATGCATGTACAGCCATCATGCTAAAACAATCGAACTGAATCGAGAAGCCTACAAATCCGTATATACAGGGTGCATCTAAATAACAAATCCACTATAAAGGAATTTGGAAGGATGACATTTGGCAGATAACTGTTGCTAGTGAAATGACCTTTTGACGACTTTTGTAATCCTAAAATGTTTTTACAAGGGGGTGAAAAAATCAACCCCTACAATACTTTATATAAGAACTTTTTTGTCTCTTGAAATTTTCTCCTAAAATTGTTAGTTTGATCTGATTTAAAAATTCGTATAAAATCCACTTCTTGGAATATGAGTATGAAAATTCCTCAAAGTGTTAATAAAAGTGTCCTCTTTCCAACGAACCAACCCGTTTTGAAAGACAACTTTTAGTTTTTGAGAAAACAGTATTTGAAGTTTTGATAAAATTTTCGATGTTGCAATTTTCATCGATAATTTTCAAAATTCGCTATAAAATTAATTTCTTGAGGTATCCTTGTGGAAATATCACCAATTATTAATTAAAGTATCAAAGTATCCTCTTTTTAATGCAACAAGCCGTTTTGAAAAATCGCTTTTAATTTTTGAGAAAAAAATTTTTGAAATGATCGACAATTTTTTCGAATTTCGCAATTTTCGCCGATTAAGTTTTAATAATTCGTGTAAAATTTATTCCTTGGAATATGAGTATGAAAATTTCCCAACGTGTTAATAAGAGTGTCCTCTTTCCAATGAATCAACGCGTTTTGAAAAATAACTTTTAGTTTTTGAGAAAACAATATTTGAAGTTTTGATAAAATTTTCTATGTTACAAAAAAGTTCATTTTGTAGCTTGTTCCAACATCATTTCAGAAATGTACCAGAAATTATAACCATAATGGTCGAATAGATATGCCGGATAACCGGATATCCGGCCGAAGGGGATACCGAATATCCAGTATCCAGCTTTTCGCAAAATCACCATATCCATCACAACTTGGAGGTTGAATATATTTGCTTTATATACTTCTTTTATGCGAAAAAAGTAAATTTAAAGTAATTTCAAAAAAGCTGATTAATGAAACTACGTTTAAAATGAAGTCTATTAATTAAGCTTGTATAATCGTTGATCAATTACAGCTAAGCCTGAAAAGACAAAATCCTTCAAAATCATTGTTACAACAAAAAAGTTGATGAAGAACTTTTTTAAATCACCATGTTTTTCGCCATACGACAAAAAGACGTACGTCCACATTTTATTAGTGGGATAAAGACGGGTATGGGACTTTTCAGACACAACGGTAATAGCACAGTACACATTGCACGTGCCGTTTAGTTGCCGTCCTTGGCGTCTAGTATAAATGGCAAACGTGACATTCGACAAAAGCAGTACCCACGCAATCACATGATTAAATACGAGATTTTACACACAACGATTTTTAGTTTTACTAAAGGATTATCGTGTCAAAATTGATTAGATTTTAAAAAGAAATTATTGTTTGCGGCTGAGGATGTAGTACAAATTTATGGAACAAAACCCTGGTTGCTTTAAATAAAGAAATTAAATGAATGCCTATATTTGCAATGTTTAATGTAATAACTGTAATAAGTACCACTTTAATAATAACACTGGAAGTTTTGCATGAAGTACATGTTTTGAATTTGTACATTGAGGCAGTGGTTAGGATAAATATATAAATACAGTGCAGAACATTCCAAATTATCTTACATTCTATGACAGAAACACAATTTTTAAAAATTTTGTGGTAGAGTAAATATATCAAGGTTGGGAATGAGTAGATTTGTGGCTACTGCGAATGTTGCAGTTACAATGTACCCTCTAACCATAATCTAAGAGCTCCAAGAATTTATTATCTTAGAACTCGTATGGTCTTCATTGCCAAATATTACACCAAACTCAAAAAAGTATGCTCATATTCGATTAGAGTAACATAACGTTTAGAACATGTTGGATTCAACATCGTAATTTGAGTCTGACTTAATCTATTAACAGGAATTCGTAGTAACTCAGATATTGAGTTGGATTAGACGTCATAAGTGTAAACTTTAGGAGTGGTTATCCCATTTATATTTCATAATTGAGCTTCCTTATCCCATCGAGATTTATTTATTCCAACAGGACTGTGAAAAAAACGTGATTTCTATCAAAATAAATAGCTAAAATGATTAATTGTTACTAAAAAATAAATTATCGTTAAACTAATAATAATAATGTTTAATATTCAAAGTGAGTGTGAAAATATATCAAAAACTTGGCCGATATCATCGCCCATTTCACGATAGTTATTACTTCGCAGAACATCTGTTACAACGACGCGTCGGTAATAACAACGGTCTGGTCGTAAATTGCGAGCAGAATCCATTCGTGATAATTTACAGTTTGCCTCGTATATCAAATAAGAAATTGTTTCCTTCGACGAATAAAAAAAAGAATAAAAGAAAAAAGAGAGGTATTAAAAATTACCTGTTGATTGCGTCAGTTGAGGTAGATATTTCTTCCAAAACGCGCATTGTTTTAATCTTGGTCCTCGACCGGTTGCCGTTGAGTTAACGTCCAACGTAAGATATTCCCTGCCAGAAATGGTGTGGGTTGGCCAAAAAGTCGGTGTCCAAACTCCGTTTGGTGATAAACTAGGGTTTCCGGTTTTAGCAAAATTTGCCCAATACCTCATAATTCTTTTACTTAAATCGACTTCTTGTGCCGTATAAATTTTTGTTGGATTTAATGGTTCGCCGAAGACATAATTGATTTCGTCCGCGTGCATAACTCCCGTCCATGATGGCCAAGGATTATTCACCGTTCTATGCTTATAGTAGTACATATAAACGTTGTTACCGGTTTCTGCATATCTGTATGCAAACTCGTTTACGTTGCATGTAAATTGGTAATCACCTACCATTTTGTCGAGTGCATCTCGATTGCTAATGGTGTCATCAGGATTTAACCAATCGGTGTATTCAAAAACGATTGCTTGTCGAGCTATTGGATTAAAATATGGGTTTAATTCAGCAACAGCTCGTATAAATTCTTGTCGGCTAACATAGACATTTTCTTCTTTACGAATTAATTCGGTTAGATAATATAAAATAAAATAGTAACCTTCTTCTGTATTAGATCCCATTAAGATATTTGTTTTCTTAAAATTTTTATTCAACATAGCTTTAACCGGGTGTTCATCTAAGAAAGCGCCATCTATAACGGGTACGAAAGGAAATTCGCATATTCCCAAAGTGCCCCATTCGTTATCAACCAAAAGCGCTGAATCTTTCTTTCTTAAGCACTCAATTACCGCTTGCAAATCGGATCTATCACTTGGACAGTTTACAGCTTCGGCTAATCTCAACCCTCTTAAGATACTTTCTTCTCTCGATATGATTGCCCAGGGAGCTGTCGCACTACCCGATTGCATTATCGCTTGGGAGAATAAATTTCGTGATAACGGCGAGAGAAGGTGTAAAGACACCGATACGGCACCGGCGGATTCACCGAATAAGGTAATATTATTCGGATTTCCTCCAAATAACGCTATATTATCGTGCACCCATTGAATTGCCATTAATTGATCGAACATTCCGGCATTTCCCGGAACATCAGCAGTACCAAAATATAAAAATCCTAAGGAAGCCACCCGATATTGTATCGTAACTAAAATAATATTTTCTTCGGCAACCATAATATTATGATCATAAACCTCTAAAGTACTCGTTCCCGAATAAAAACCTCCCCCGAAAATCCATAATAACACAGCTGCATTTGTTGGTCGAGGTTTAGGGACCACCACATTGATATATAAGCAATCTTCACTTCTTGGTGTGTTAGGATTCCACATGGTTGCACCGGGAAAGTCTCCGAAAACAGTATCGATTATTTGCATACAAGAATTCGGCAATGACGTAGTGTTCATAATGTTATCCCATTTTTCAATTGGTCTTGGATGACGAAATCTTAGGTTTGCTAATGGTTTTTGGGCGTATGGTATCCCTAACCACGCATCTACGGGTTTTCCCGTTGCTGCTGTTACTGTCATTCCTCGAATTTTACCCTTTTTAGTTTGAATTACTAAAGGATCATCTGTTGAGTCCCTCCTTGAAAATTCCCGTTTTTCTTCTGGAGTTTCTCTTCTAAATTCTTCAGAATCTCGGTGAGGATCAAACGTATCTCTGGACATATGGAAAGGTTCCGCGTGAGATTCTTGAGGATGATGTCTACCCTTATGCGGATTCGGTTGGCAGGCCGGCAGGAGGAACCCCACCAGCAAGCACGTTGTCCACGGTGCTCTTTTCATGACTCTGCTCGGTTAGTCTTCTAGATCTAAATGAAAAAAATAAAAGAGAAAAAAACAACGTTTAGTCTAATGAAGTCACATTTCACAATTTCTACCCCTCGTTAGGCAATGCCTTCGAGGCACGGATAATTGGGCGCTTGCACCGACATGTTCTGATTGTGATTGCGACGTCGTAGTCGGGAACCAGGAACGGAACGGCATTGTCCTGCCGTGGAATAGCTAATGGATGGTTGCTATCTGGATCCATTCATGTGAGAACTAGGTTATTGCGTGGAATGCTCAGGAGAAAGGTTTCCTTCCTTTAGAAAATGACCATCATTTGCAAGAGATAATAGGAGTATTGATAGAAATTTTAAATTATTTAATCGAATTTAAATGAATATACAGTAAAACCTTGATATATCATCTCTTTAATGTATCAATATATTTAAATATTAATATTAGCGCTCATAGATAGTATCCAAGTCGTGTTATTCTCCAAGTTGTCTATGCGATGTATAAATCAAGGACTGCAGCTCTAGTTTTAATTCTTATTAAAAGTAGAACTTACACTAGATCTAGAACTAGGAATATTCGGGTTTAGCCGTACGTCTCTTAAGATGGCTAAACCCGAATGATTCTAGTTCTAGGTCTAGTATTAGTTCTAGTGACAGTGCTAGGTACTGCTAATTGGTAATTAGATATCACTGTGCTGTATATTTTTATTGAAGTAAAACTAGAACTAACACTAAATCTAGAACTAGAAAGTTTCAACTAGAAGATTGGGATTCTTTTCAGACCGTGGAAAGTACGTGATTTAATCTGCGATTTGTAAAGGTTTTTTGCAAATGTTTTGTCGAGATGATCTTTGAGGTCTGTCATGACAGGAAATTAAATTATAAATTTGATATAAAAATCATTAGACAAGTATCAAACAAAACCCAATCCGTTTTTAATAATTTTCAACAACCTGGCAGAGCTAGAAACCTGTGCCCAATCATCTAGTTTTCTTCTCTTCGCATGTAATTCATCATCACATTCATTACTAACAGAACTGTCGCTGTTATCACTTTCGATTATTAATTAAAGTATCCCCTTCTTAATGCAAAAAGCCGTTTTGAAAAATCACTTTCAGTTCTTGAGAAATAAATTTTTGAAATGAACGACAATTTTTTCGAATTGTTTAATTTTCGCCGATTAAGTTTTAAAAATTCGTATAAAATCCAGTTCTTGAAGGATCCTTGTAGAAATATCACGAATTATTAATTAAAGTATCCTCTTTTTAATGCAACAAGCCGTTTTGAAAAATAACTTTTAGTTTTTGAGAAAACAACATTTGAAGTTTTGATAATATTTTCGATGTTGCAATTTTCATCGATAATTTTCAAAATTCGCTATAAAATTCATTTTTTGAAGGATCCTTGTGGAAATATCACGAATTATTAATTAAAGTATCCTCTTTTTAATGCAAAAAGCCGTTTTGAAAAATAACTTTTAGTTTTTGAGAAAACAATATTTTAAGTTTTGATAAAATTTTCAATGTTGTAATTTTCATCTCTAAAGACGCACCCAAATGGTTCTAGTTCTAGATCTAGTGTTAGTTCTAGTAACAATGCTAGTGTAAAACTAGAACACTAGCATCTTCGTTCTAGTAACAATGCTAGTGTTCTAGTTTTACACTAGCATTGTTACTAGAACTAACAGTACACCTAGAACTAGAATCATTCGGGTTTAGCCGTCTTAAGAGACGCACGGCTAAACCCGAATGATTCTAGTTCTAAGTGTAGTCTTAGTTGTATTAACAGTGCTAGTGTAAAAGTAAAACTAACACTAGACCTAGAACTAGAACATTCGGATTTAGCCGTCTTGAGAGACGTGCGGCTAAACTCCAATGATTCTAGTTCTAGGTATACTGTTAGTTCCAGTAACAATGCTAGTGTAAAACTAGAACTAATACTAGACCTAGAACTATAGTTCTAGTTCTGATTAGAATTGAACGCTGACGTCACGAACGGTCCTTTGAGCTGTGCACCTGTTCCCAGAATATAACAATCTTCTTAGATTCTACCATCCTTAGTATAAATATAAATCCACGTAGACTGAACGCAACAATATAGATAGTTGTTCAAATTTACGTGCATTAAAATGATTCATATAGAGGACTTTTGGCTATAATGGATACTCTCTTCTCCGTGTTAATCCGTTATATCAAGATTTTACTGTAATATGATTGAAATATAAAGTGGATTTCAAGGATTTAAAAAAACTAAAGAAATATCGAAACGAACTTTTGTTGATTCAATCGAATCTAAAAGTTTTAAGAAGTGATAAAGTAGTAGGAAACTTTTTAGATAGATCCACAACGAGTAGTTCAATTTTGTTGTTTCGGCACGTCGTCACACAAAGAGATGATACTCATAGTCTAACATACTTAAAGGATTATTATGCAAAACAGGCAATGGCCCTTTGAAATTCACGACACCCAACGTGCAAACGTGTCCGTGCACGACTAGCAAATACATATTGTCCTGCGGGCGCGTTATCAACTCGTCCCATGCGCCCCGAAACGAACGGGGTAATAAAACTCGTCGCAAATGTGCTTATCTAAAACGAACGTTCCGGATATAAAACGCAATTAGCCTTGTGCGCAGGATATGCAGAATTACAGTCGTTAGGCTGTTGACGCCAATGATCGACGCGTTTATTACCACGTGTCATACTCACGTAACAAATGTCAACAGGATGATTTGCCGCAGGGTGGCATTATTGCTCCTCCGTTTATTGTTTGCTTGTTTCCACCAAGATTTCGCAATCTAAGTTGAATACGAGGTTATGAGGTTACAAGGTTAACGTCATCCACTTCATAGCTTTTCTGAAAATAGATAGAAATTAAATTAATTATGCTCAAATCTATAATGATTCTAATTTTATTTCTTAGATAAATTGTTTGAGAAGATTGAATATTCTCTGTATTCTGTTTGTTAGTGTCAAGTAAAGGTTTGCAGAATTTGCATTCTATTTGTGACTATCTACAATATCATGAAAGTGAGAAAGAGAGAGAAAGAGAATGGTTTCTGTAGGGTGGATAACGCGACAGGAACGTTGACCCAATAATTCAGTTGTAATTAAACTCGCATAAATTGAGAGAACCGTACACCGGCGACTCTGCAATTATTTATACCCTGCGCAACGTGTTCGGGACGTTCCGATCGGAAAAGGATGTCCAACCACCCTCCGGGAACCCCCTATAGCTTTGAATATGCCATGATCTCGCACGATTGGAATGCATCGAACTTCATAAAAATTGCCGGTCGTTATTCGTTATTGGCATTTTATGTTATATTTTCCAACCGTGGAATAATATTTTAAAAATTGTCACCTACACCGATTTGTATTGGAATTCGATTTTAAATTTTTTATTTAAACGCCCATATTTCATAATTATAGAATTTTTGATTGGATTGTTTCGTGATAATCTTTCTGGGACCAATTACTTGTCTAATTGTTCCGTTGGCGCAGTGCCCTCCCCCCATTGCGGAGGGTATGCGGGGGCCAAATGGGGGTCGTCGGTGACGCAATTAGGACACCAATGGCGCCGGTTACGGCAACATGGGATGAATAATTGCCGGTCAAATTAGTCGTTGCCGACGTCGTTGACTGAGGAACCGAGATAACGGAAAAGTTAGGGGTAAATAACCAACTTAAGTCGGCCCGTAATTAGTTCGGTTGCTGCCGTCGGGAAAATGCAAATTTCCGTCGCGAAAATTCACTTATCACTAACAGCCGTGTTTTACACGGAGAGCCTCTTCTTCTCTCGTCCGAAGAGAACGAGGCGGTTATTCAAATTAACTGCTAGACGTTAAAATCACCCCTATTTTACGTGACTGACCTGATTTTATTTATTTTTTACCTTAATTAACGTAAACAAGTTTATTTATTAATAACATTCTAAGTAATACCGACACATCAAAAACTATATCGACATAAACAAGCTTTATTTTCGGAATTTAATACAACAAATAATTCAATGATGTAAATGTAACAATGGAAACGGATTATTTGGTTCCAATAACTTCATAAATATCAAACAGTATAAATAAATTAATTAAAAACAACAAATTTAAAAGTAATACCAAGAGTTTGCCGATAGGAGACTACGACAAAGAAGATGCCAGATGAGATCTTGGTGAAAGTCTTCTCCTTTCCAAAGGGAACCAACAGGAAGAATTGATGAAATCTCGGATCGACCACAACAACACAATTAAAAATAGTCTATAAAGAAATTATGCAACCCTACTATCACAGAGACACAACAAGTGTGCCGTAAAAATAATTTGTTGCAAACCAAATCTTAAATTGATACACATCAGTAACATTACTCTGCATATCATCGCATATTATCGACAATAGCTGATAGTCTGTCAATAGCAGTCTGCCTTCAACCCACTCTAACCTTCACATCTCAATCATCTCAATTTCATAAACGACATTTATTTGTGATATGTTTGTGCCGATAACGCCTCAATTTTTGTTACTTTAAATCGCTAGATATTGAATTTTTTACTAAGGGCAGGGAAGGTGCCACTTACAAAACTAGTACATGATTAGAAGACATGTCTAATAATACTTCCTGTATTATTAATATAAAAATTTCTTTAATAAATTGTGCAACCCGAGAATTATTGACAACTCTTTTTGACATACTTGCGAGCACGACGAGGAATTAGTAAAACATGTTCTCTGCGAAAATACTTAAAGCTGTGTGCTGACAAACTGACGAAAGCTGGCAACATGAACAGTTCTTATAAGAATGAAGTATTTGTAGTAAATTGTGCTATCTTCTACAAAGAAAATAATTAAAAAAAAGAGAGAAAACTTAAATGAGATACTGGTAAATTAGGTTAATTTTAGGTCCATCAAATATTGTTGCTAAAAAGTACATACTCAATTTACTCCTTTTGGTATTGCAAAATCTCTTTAATAACAAAATTTGGTAATATTAGTGTTTTTCTATCATCGTAGGGTTTTGGGATAGCTGAAGAACATTCTCTGTCGAAAGAGAAGTTTTCTGCCTTTGTATCTTCTATATTAGGTACCATCAACATTAACAACTAGAAAAATATTGCTTATAAGATTACAACACCCGATTATCATAATAATAACTATACCTACAATGTTGTGTTACAAGCATTAAGCTTATTCTGAATATTAATTCGTATACGTGGATGTTTCAGTAAAAGGGCGAGGTAGAAATGGAGGAATATTATATTAATAGCAGTAATGTAAATAACGCATTTGAAACATTTACACTTTCTACGTTAACTAACTTCTCGTGACAATAGAACATAACGTAGTCACTATACAGTGAATTTCACTTAAGATGCAATATACTAAAATATATTTCCATAGAAAACAGGGCGTACCTATTTACTTTATCCCACATAAAATGCATTATTAATTCTAGTTTTAATTGTTATTCAGCGTTAGATTGCGGTATATTTGTATTGAACGAAAAGTAGAACTAACACTTGACCTAGAACCAGAACCATTTGGATTTAGCTATGCGTCACTTAAGACGGCTAAACCTGAATGTTTCTAGTTCTAGGTCAAATGTTAGTTCTAGTGGCAGTGCTAGGTAGCGCTAATTAGCACTAGATATCACTGTGCTGCATATTTTTATTGAATTAAAACTAGAAGTACCAGTTTCGGATTTAGCCGTGCGTCCAAAGAACGAAGAATGTTTCTAGTTCTAGGTCTACTGTTAGTTCTAGTTTTGCGCTAGCACTATCACTAGAACTAACACAAGACCTAGAACTAGAATCATTCGGGTTTAGCCGTTTTGAGAGACGTGCAGCTAAATCCGAATGTTTCAAGATCTAGGTCTAGTATTAATTCTAGTGATAGTGCTAGTGCAAAACTAGAACTAACACTAGACCTAGAACTAGAAACATTCGGATTTAGCCACACGTCTCTCAAGACGGCTAAACAGGAATGATTCTAGTTCTAGGTCTTGTGTTAGTTCTAACGATAGTGCTAGTGCAAAATTAGAACTAACACTAGAACACAAGACCTAGAACTAGAAACATCCGTGTTTAACCGTGCGTCTCTTAAAACGGCCGAAAACTTTTTATCAAGCAAAACTTTTCCACCCATTGCCTGTACTATTAAGCTATGTTGCATTTTATGTGCGACAGTGCAAGTACACAGTAGTTTGGTAAGTATGGTTACTGCATTCATATATTACTATATGAAATTAAGTATAAAAATATTTAAACTATCAGATTTTGTCCATTTCATACAACTTCAGAAAACGTATAGATTTAATATAACTTAGTTATATTACACGTTGTTGCGTCCTTTTATGTACGAAGAAGTACAAGTTTAACCTCATTACAACATGGTCTACAAAAGCGTGATTAAAGTTCGTGGTTCACTACTTAGGGAAATGCGAGTTAAGACTACATGAAAATCGAGGATTCGTCTTTGAGCTACATTCTGGTCTTTGGAACTTTCTTCGACTGGTTTATGTGGCCGGAGGATATACAAGGACTAATGGGATTTATACTGTATCAATACAAGTATTAGAAGTGAATGAATCCAGACGAACAGATTTAACCTGATTTAAAGAAACTATCAGTTCAAAGAATTTATTATCACCAAATCAAGCATAAAAAATGTGCTCAAAAATGAATTTTTAATCAAAATCTATGAGTTTATGGTAAATTCTTTAATATAATAATATAATGTTTCTCTGTCGGGATGAATTTTCTTTCTTTGTCGTTAGTAGCAATAAAACAATGTGTAATGAGTGCATCTTTATGCATATGAGGGAATCTCCTATATCTTTATTGATGCATAAGCTTTATTTACGCACATTTAAAGCAGATTTATTGAAAACACAGCCACAATTTTCAGTTTATAACATAAATATGTCATCGTACACAATCAAAGCTCGCGTGACACATGTTCAATGCATGAACTGTTTGAAATATTGAAATAAAACTGCCACATAGCAAAATATGAACTATATCTATCAATTAAGGTGGATTTTTATATAGAATCGAGTTAAAAATTGTTTCTTTTGATCACAAACGTGTCAAATCAATAAACCGTGTAAAAACGAATACGTGAAAAACGCGGGATAGTTTAATTTATTTTTTATATACAATAACAAATTAGTTTTTTATACATATTTATATGGAAAATAAAAATTTTTTCCAAATTAGTTTATTTATTAACAAAATTATACTAAAGAAATTAAAAATTTTATATGTGATATTCAGAACAGATTGTGAAAGGTTCTTATAAAGTAAATTCCTTCCGGATTGGGTAGGGCAATGTCGAGCCAATCCCGGAATACATTAAGATTCCATCGAGGGCAGGGCAAGGGTGCACCCAGGTCCGTTGACGGGCCAAACTGAATAATGTATGCAGGTTTTACGACGAGACTCCTCGAAGGCTGTACGTGAGACAGAAGATTAACCTCACGTGACCTAACAGACTTAATTTAAAATATAACTTAAAATAGCGGAAGAATCTAAAATGAGGCTTCATCCAGGCGCATCCACCATTTCTTTTTTACCAAATTTTTCAACTTAATAATTGATGTCTAATAAGTTCTTGTTGTAATCAATAAATTTGTGCAAGTTTTCGATTCTCGCACGGTCTTGGCAATTTTTCAAACGACCGTAGCGAATTCTGCAGCAATTTCCTCCCTTACCCCGCTTAGGATTAACGTTTGGGAGTGGCAGCGTTGCTGTGGTATGCTCGGAAACTGTACTCGGAAATATTCAAAAGTTTTCAAGACATCCGGAACTTGCCTTTTATTTTCGTAAGAGATGCTTTTTACAGCTTATTTCTTCGTTCAAGTCT